CTTGCACTTATCCACATCGAACGCCATCCTGTTGTCCCCTGCCCACTTCCATAGTCTGTCCAGATCTTTTTGGATCTGGAGTACCTGCTCCTCAGTTGTGGCCACTGCCCCAGTTTTAGTATCGTCTGCGAATTTGATCAGCAGACTGTTCACCCCTTCTTCCATGTCATTGCTGAAAAGATTAAACAGGATTGGCCCCAGGACAGAGTAGTAACCGGTTAATTGTGGCTTATCGTGACCTCACTGCCCACCTCCCCACTTCCTACCATCTGAAAATAGGAGGGCAGTGTGGAGCTTCCTGCCCTTCATCTACTAGGGGTGACTTGACCCAAACTGCTTCCCAGCTCCAAGAGGAGTCCGGCTTAAAAGCTGCTCTGCCTCCCTTTCCATGCCATGTGCTGCAGCCCCGTTCCAGCCTGGTTCAAGGGGAGCCTGCTCTCCCATACAGGCTCGGCTTGTCCCCAGACATTCCCCATGACCAACGGATCTTGCACCCTTCTCCCTACACCCTGTCCACATCCACACATTGAGGCCCCTCAGCTGAACCTGTCTAGCTGGCCCCATCCATGGAATGAGCTGTGCCTTGGTGAAGGCCACAATGAGGTCCTGGATTTAGAAACATAGAAATATAGAAACAGAGCGAGTCAGAAGGGGGCCTTCTGGGCCATCTAGTCTGACCTCTGGCACCAGCCTGCTCTGCTCACGACATGCCCACCATGTGCATGTCCAGCCTATCTTTGAACACCCCCACCAATGGGGCCTCATAGTGCCAATATTCCCACTGATGTCCCTGGGCCCAGGTGTATGCAAACAGCCAGAGCATCCAATAAATCCAAATCCACAACATTCAGTGAACAATCATCAGAAAAAGCTTCCAAAATCCCAAATCATAGAAACACAGAAACAGAGAAAGTCAGAAGGGGCCTCCTGGGCCATCTAGTCTGACCCCCGGCTCCAGCCGGCTCTGCTGACGACATGCCCACCATGTGGACATCCAGCCTATCCTTGAACATCCGCACCGATGGGGCCTCAACGACCTCTCATGAAAGCACATTTCACGCCCTCGGGGTCCTAACTGTCAGGAAGTGCTTCCTGGCATCCAAATTGAACCTTGGTTCCCTGAGCTTTGCTCCCTTGAAGGGTGCTTGCCAGGAATCCGGCTCCACACATAGAAACATAGAAACAGAGTGAGTCAGAAGTGATCCACAACACGTTTTATGCGATGCTTTTGGACTGCAGTGCCTATCTGGGAATTTGGGGAAGTGCTCTGGTCACCGTCACCAACGGAGCGTGCGGCTCGCCAGACACTGGCCGCTGTATGGCATCATCTGCATCTTGTGCACTGAGTTAAAAAGCTCGTGTGGGAATGGAAAGGGCAGATGCTGGGAGGGTGGTGGGAAGCGGGGCAGAAAGTGAGACTAGGGCAAGAAAGAGCAAGGCTGGAAGCGGGGAAAGAAGACAGCCCTTAGATTTCCCAAGCTTTCCCCCACAACTGCTTTTCATGGGGGCAAGGAGGGTGTTTGCAAATTCTCCGGAACAGGTCAAATTGAGCCCCTGGAAGCAGCAACGGCGAAATAGGCTGTTCGGCTTCCTGGGCAGGCCAGGCTCCCTGGAGAAGACCCTCCTGCTGGGGAAAGCTGAAGGCAGGAGAAGGGGACGGCTGAGGAGACAGAGGGACTCCGTGAAGGGAGCCACCGCCTGGCATTGGGAGCAGCTGAGCAAGGTGGTCCTGGCTGGGCCCTCTGGAGGGCCTCCACTCACAGGGATGCCTGGACAGAGACGGCCAGATGGCAGAGAAAAAAGAGGGGGGAGTGTCACGCACGGGGCGTTCGAGACCCCCTAATAGGCCCTCTCTGGACTTGTCTGCCTTCCCTTGCTGGGAAGGGCCATGGAGCGAGACAGGGAAAGGGGCTTTGGGAGTCTCCCACCCATGTTCCCCCCTTGCCTGCCAGACTGCCACCTTCCCCCCCCCCCCCCCCCGGGTCTCCTGGATCCAATTTTTCACTCGCTTTCTCAGCAGCCGGGCCAGCATCCCACTGCCCTGGAAGGATCAGACGTGGCTTCCTCAGCCACCTTCCCAGGATGCACTTGCCTGCTACCCCAAAGGTATCGGGCGCTGTTGCACGAGGGTGCCCCCCTGCCGGCCCCATCTCTCTCTCTCTCTCTCTCTCTCTCTCTCTCTCATTAATTAATTAATTAATTAATTAATTAAAAGCTTCTGTATGCCATCCTATTATACAAGATCCCAGGACGGCTTACAATATTTAAAAAACACTTAAAACAACAATTTCAATAAATAATAGAATAGGACAAAACAAAGAGTGACTAAAGGTAAAGGTTGCTAATTTTTAAAATACTGTTTAAATAAAAAGGGTTTGGCCTGGTGCCAAAAGGAGTATTGGCTCAGCACCAGGCGTATCTGTCTGGGGATTCATTCCAGAGTCTGGGCATCACCGCAGAGAAGGCCCTGCTCTGAGATGATGTCCTTTTTTATCTCTCTTAGAGAGGGTTCCTGGAGCAGGGCTTCTCCTATAGATCTTAAGGGACGCGAGGGTGTATAAGGAAGGAGACGTTCCTTCAGGTTTCCTGCTCCCAAGCCTTTTAGGACTTGATATGTCAAAACCAGCACCTTGAATTGGGCCCAGACTTCAACTGGGAGCCAGTGGACTTTGTAGAGGACTGGCATTATGTGAGAGCAACGGCCTGGTCCCGTCAGCAGCCTGGCAGCTCTGTTCTTTACCAGTTGCATTATCTGGACCGTTTTCAAGGGCAGCCCCACGTAGAGCGCGTTGCAGTAATCCAAGCAGGAGGTTACCACAGCATGTATCACTGTTGCTTGGCAGTGCTCATCCAGGTAAGGACGCAGCTGATGGATCAGTCAAAATTGTAGGAAAGCACACCTTGCCACCGCCGCCACCTGGAACTCCAGGGAAAGCTCTGGGTCAAGGAGTACCGCCAAGCTGCAGACCCCGTCCTTTAGAGGGAGTGCTACCCTGTCCAGAACTGGGTCTAAACACCTACCTGGAGACCCACACCGCCCACCAACAGGACTTCCATCTTATCTGGATTGAGGCTCAGTTTCTTGGCCCTCATCCAGCCCATCACCTCGGCCAGGCACCGGTTCAATAAAGCCACCGCCTCACCTGGAGTAGATTTAAATGAGAGGTAGAGCTGGGTGTCATCAGAATACTGATGACTCCGCAGCCCAAACCTCCTGATGACCTCTCTCAGTGTTTTCATGTAGATGTTGAATAGCATGGGGGACAAAATAGAGCCCTGCAGGACCCGATGGCAAAGTTTCCATGGTGCAGACCATAGTCCCCCAGTACCACCATCTGGAATTGGTCGGCAAGATAGGAGTGGAAACACTGCCACGCAGTGCCTTCTATTCCTAAATCAGCCAGCCTATCCAGCTGCCCACCAGGAACACCTACCGGCCCGGCCCCGTCCTGCCTCCATTCCGCGCACCAAAGATGGCCTCGCCACCGAGAGCACCAGCAGCAGGAGCAGGTCTGGGGGGACGGAGGCCGCCCCATCGCTGCCCCCAGGGGTGCCCAGATGCCAGACGGGAGGGCGTAGATCCTTTGGCTGGAGGAGAGAGCGATTGTGGAGAGGCCAGGCGCTGGGTGGCTGCAAAGGGGAAGTGAGGGCAGCTGCGTGGTCTGGTTCCCTGGCAGAAGGGCTTGCATGGGAACCGTGGTGGCAGAAAGTGACAGACACACACGCCTGTGGAGGGAGAATGACGCAACATGGATAGCGTTCTGCAGAAGGTGAAGCATGGCCCTTCCGTGATCCCAAGTGCCCCCCCCCCCTCAGCTCCAGAGGGAAGTGGCTCCTGCCCCCTTCTCTCTTTACGCTCTTGGTTCTTGGTCCTGGACAATGACGTGACAAAAGTCACGGGCCCAGTGGAGACAGACTCTGCTGCAGACTGATGCAGGCGCCAGCGTTTTGTGACCTTTTCGGGGAATGCACGCTACAATTTGCCCCTAATCTTCCACTTGCGATCATAGAAACAGAGAAACAGAGTGAATCAGAAGGGACCTCCTGGGTCATTTAATCTGACCCCCGGTTCCAGCTGCCTCCACTCAGGACATGCCCACCATGTGCATGTCTAGCCCCCTTTTTGGGGGACGCACATTGTAATTTGACCCTAAACTACCGCTTGTGATCATAGAAACACAGAGAAACAGAGTGAATCAGAAGAGGTCTCCTGGGTCATCTAGTTTGACCCTGGCTCCAGCTGGCTTCACTCATGACATGCCCACCAGGAAACTAGCCTAACAGGAAACGGGAAGAGAAACTAATGTTACTGTTACTGAGAAAACTGTAAAAGTCGAACTTCAAAAACCATTTTAAAACTGCAATGTGCACAAAAGGGGATCTGTTTGTGAATTCTGCATAGGATGCAAAAATGGCAGATGGGGGGGAGGAGGAGGGGGGGACCTTTGACTGCCTCGCTCCTCCAACCTGGCACCCTCTGGTGGGGCTGGACTCTAATTCCCATCCACCACCAGCCAGCAGAAGTCCCCCTGATGGGAGCTGTAGCAGCCCAACACACTGTAGGCCCTCAGAAGAGCCCTGAGGATCGGGGGGGGGGGTCCCCCAAATCTGGCTTCCCACAGGAACCCTCAAGCAGACCCTGAGCACCACAGAACCCTCCTACCCATGTTCCCCAGCAGTTGGTGTCCAGAAGCACATTGCCCCCATCCTGGACAGCATCTAAAAGCCAACAGGACTAGTTCCTGTGGATGTCCAGTCCTCTTCGACCAAAGCCCAAACATCCATCCCTCACACCCATTTCCAGTTCTGTATTCGTCACCTTTGGAATATACGTATTTCAAACGATATATTTGGAATATATATTTCGGAATATATTTGGAATATATTTTAAGGAATATATTTGGAATATACATATTCCAATATAAATATTATATTGGAATATTTATTTTTATATAATATAAATATCAAGAAAGTATTTTCCTCTGTTAGGCCCTTTCCCTTGATTGTAGCTTACTCCTTTTAATGCCACCTTTCTCCTCTCTTACAAGGAACCCAAAACAGCTCACGTGCTTCTCCTCCCTCTCCCCCTCCCCCGGTGTGCACGACAACCCTGCAAGGCAGGCCAGACATCCACCAGCAAGTCCTGTCCCTGAGTGGGGGTGCGGAGCCACATCCCCCCGACCCAGCGCTCTAACCACTGCACCAGCTGGCTTTCACAAGGGTTGTGTGGGGCGGAGCGTGGCTGCAGGCTCTGGTTTGGGGGCATAGCAGACCGGGGGGGCCCAGTGTCCCTGACTCGGCCAAGGGCTGCTCTGAGCTTTGCAAAGCCGGGCCCCACGGTTGGGTCGGGGCGGGGTGGACATGGGGGGGTTGGATACAGAATGCTTCTAGCCTCGTGAGTTATCCATCATCAGAGGGAAGTCCCACTGGCGTTCCTTGTCGGGCACTTCCTCCCCTCCAGAACACACTGTGTACCCATGAGTTGTGTGCCCCAGTGGGTCCTGAGACCACCCTTCTGCCCCCCAGCCAGCTCCCCCTCCCCGGCTGGCAGCCATGGGACCCCCTCCGGTGTGGGCAGCCCTCCTGCCTGCCCTGCTGGGGCTGGCCCCGATCCGCAGCGCTGCAGAGGGAAAGACCCCCCCGGGTAAGTGTTTGGGGCACCCCTTGGGGAAGGGAGGGGGCAGTGGGGGGCCTTCCCCAAAGGCAGGGGGTCCAGAAAGGGGGAGCTCAGTTCCTGGGGAAGCTGGAAGGCTCTTGAGGGGTGAGAAGGGTGGCAAATGCCCCCCAACCTCTCGGGGGAGTGTGGCACCTTGCCTGAGAAAGTCCCAAACTGGGGAGATGGAGAGGTTTCTCTGGATCACAGCCTAGACAGTGGCACCCTCAGAGCAGCTGTTCCCCTGGAGGTTTTGGACCGTAAGACCTATCAGCATGGCTGGCAGTAAGGAATGATGGGAACTGTAGTCCTAGAACTTCCAGGGGAAGGCACCAGGTTGGGGAAAGCTACTTCGAAAAATGCCCCCCGTTTCCTTATTACATGAAGAGCCCACCTCTTTTCCCCTTTAAGGAAGCCAAGGCCCTCCTCCTGCCATTTGCATCCACACAACAACCCTGTGAGGTGGGTTAGGCTGAGAGTTGATGCCCAGCTCAAAGTCACTCAACGAGTTGCTTGGCTGGAAGGGATTCTAGCAAACAATGTGAGTCAGAAGGGTCCTCCTGGGTCATCTAGTCTGACCCCTGACTCCAACCGGCTCCACTCATGACATGCCTCCCATGTGCATGTCTAGCCCTCTTTTTGAGGGATGCACTTTACAATTTGCCCCTGAACTACCACTTGTGATTATAGAAACAGAGAAGCAGAGCGAGTAAGAAGGGGTCTCCTGGGTCATCTAGTCTGACCCCGGCTCCAGCCGGCTCCACTCAGGACATGCCTACCATATGCATGTTTAGCCCCCTTTTTTGGTGATGCACTTTGCAATTTGCCCCTAAACTACCGCTTGTGATCATAGAAACAGAGAAGCAGAGTGAGTCAGAAGGGGTCTCCTGGGTCATCTAGTCTGACCCTCGGCTCCAGCTGGCTCCACTCAGGACATACATACCATGTGCAAACCGGCCTTTCTTGAGTCCCAGTCCAATGCTGCACCACTCTGGTTCCTGCTATTCCAGGCCCAAATGGTGCATCCCATTCAGCCTTCCCTCACCACAAAAGGGCCTTTCCACTTTTTCTTCCTGATGGGCAGCAGGCAGAAATCTAACCAGTGCTGTGCTCTCTCTGTTTCGCTCTCTCCATCCCCAAGTGCATTCTGGGAAAAAGATGCTGCAGCCATCCCAGGCCAAACAGTGGAGGGCCCAGAACCATAGTCCTTCCCTGTCTTCACCAGGGAGCACAGGTGGCTGGGGGAGGATATACCACAGCCCTGCAGTGTAGTCCAGTATTTATTTATTTAGCATTTTATTTATTTAAAGCTTATATATCCCGTCCGACTACTAGCATCTCGGGGCAGTTTTACAATCAAAGCAACACAAAGAAAATACAGCACAGCATCCGATGCTTCCAGTATAATAAAATCCACATTAAAACCTTTTAAACATTAAAATAATAGGGAAATAAAAAGCTTTTCACCTGGTGCAAGAAGGAATAAGGCGTCGGAGCCAGGCAAACCTCTCTGGGGAGTTTATTCCAAAATTGGGGTGCCAACACAGAGAAGACCGTTCTCTGGGTAGCCTCCGCACCCCCAGTAATCTCCTCCAAGGAGGGCTCCTGGAGCAGGCCCTCCAGGTTGGATCACAAGGGGCAGGAAGGCAGAAGGGGGGCAGTGTTATCCTGCCACTACAAAAGCAGCGGAGAATGTGGCAGCACCATCAGCCCCGGCAAGAAAAGCCGGGCAGACGCATTCACGTTCCGATCCAGAGACGCAGGATGGGGTGGCCGCACTGGGGGAGAGCCGTGGTTGAGGCCCCATTGGTGAGGGTGTCCAAGGACAGGCTGGACATGGACATGGTGAGCATGTCATGAGCGGAGCCAGCTGGAGCCGGGGTCAGACTAGATGGCCCAGGGGACCCCTCCTGACTCGCTGTTTCAATGTGTGGGACCTGATTCCTGGCAAGCACCCTCCAACGGAGCCAAGCTCAGGGAGCCAAGGTTCAATTTAGATGCCAGGAAGCACTTCCTGACAGTCAGGACCCCGAGGGTGTGGAATGGGCTTCCCCGGGAGGTGGTTGAGGCCCCATCAGTGCGGGTGTTCAAGGACAGGCTGGACATGCACATGGTGGGCTTGTCGTAAGCGGAGTCAGCTGGAGCCGGGGTCAGACTAGATGGCCCAGGAGACCCCTTCTGCCTCGCTCTGTTCCAGTGCTTCTGTGTTCCTCCCTCAGACTGAGTCAGTCCCTGGTCCATGTAACCCCATATTGCCAATGAGGGCAGGCAGCCGGGGCTCTGCGGGCTTCAGGTGGATCGGTGGTGTGCAGGTAGTTTTGGGGTACAGTGTGTGAAGCCGCATGCCGAATTGTGTAAGGAGAACAAAAGCAAAGCCAGGAGGCGAGGCTGTGCCGAGAGTCCCGGTGCCAGGTCAGACCGCGTGGGTCCATCTCATCTGGGATTCTGTGCATGCGGCAGGGGCTCCCCAGGGAAACCCACGAGCTGGACACCGGTGCCGTGACACACTCCTACCCATGTTACCCAGCAAGTGGTGCGCGAGGCACACTGCCTGATCCTGGAGGGAGCCACAGGGTGAGGGTGCTCAAGAATTGGCTGGACATGCACATGGAGGGCATGTCATGAGTGGAGCCGGCTGGAGCCAGGGGTCAGACTAGATGGCCCGGGAGACCCCTTCTGCCTCGCTCTGTTTCTATGTTTCTTCCTGCAACCCCCATGCAGAGGAGGCTGTCGGGAGGAGGGGGCAGGCTTGGGGGGCCTCCGCTCCTGCCATGGGTGTCTGGATCTGAGCGGGGGCCGGATGCACTCAGCCCAGAGTGAGGACCCAGGTGAGCCCCCATCGGTGGGTGCCGGCAGCTCTCCCCCAAGGGGGGAGGTTCGGATGACCGGACTCGACTGGGCAGCCCCTTCCTCTGAGGGCCTTCCACCCATCGCTGCTCCGTCTCACCCCCGCAGCCCAATTCCTGATGCAGGGCACAGCCGAGTGCCGCTTCGGTAGGGGCTCCCCGCCACGCAGGGTGCGCTTCTTGGCCCACTACTTCTACAACCAGCAGGAGATCCTTCACTTCGACAGCGACCTGGGGGCGTTCCTGGCCGTGTTGGAGCTGGGCCTGCCCGAGGCCCGGAGCTGGAACAGCCGGAAAGACCTCCTGGAGATGTACCAGGCAGAGGTGGACCTCTTCTGCCGGAAGAACCACGAGGCGGTGAGAGCCATTGTCAGGCAGGGTGAGTGAGTGTCGCGGGGGGGGGGGGGGGGGGGCTTTCTCCATGCCTCCCCCTATGGGCGTCAACTGAACATGCTGGAGTGCAAGCCCCATCATCCTCAGCCAGGGCAGGGTGGGTCGGGCTGGTCGGCAGCCCCTGCTGCACTTCGAGCAACTCATTTGTCAGGGCGCAGCTGTTCCAGATCTGAGCCATGATCCGGCGCCACGGAGAAGCAACCAAAGCAGGTGTGCGTGTGTACTGGAAACACACACTTGGGGAGACACACACAGGTATCACAACTTCACAACTCAGACTCCAAAAGCTGAGGGTCCCCTCCACACTCCCAGGTGGGCAGGAGGATTTCCCTGTAAGTGAAATACTTACTACTAACATACATATTGTTGGGAAAATTCAGATGGATCCTGGCAGAAAGGGGCTGCTTTTACATGCCTTTGTGCTATAAAATCCCAATGGGGAGGTCATTTGGCCCCTAATTTGTTTAATTATTCCTTTATTAATTGTACTGATAATCTGTCCTTTTTTACGCATGTAAGGGACCTAAGGGGCTGATATAACCCTCCTCTTCCTCCTCCTCTCTATTTTATTCTCACATCAACCCTGTGAGGTAGGCTGAGCACGAGCGATTGGCCCAACGTCACCCCAGAGAACTTCACGGCCAACTGCAGATTCGAACCCAGGTCACCCAATGCTCTAACCACTAGGCCACGCTGGCTGCTTTCTGGATTTGTCACATCCTTATGCTCCTGTGTGACTGCAGAACTCATGAGCAGGGCTGCTAGAAGGGGAGAGAGGTGCACAAGCCCCTACAGATCTGCTGATGTCATGAAACTAAGTATTTCTCTCTTTTACGGAGAACTCCTTGGAAATTTTGCAGAAATGAGGAACTGGGAACTAGCAAGCCACATCAGCTCTGACTCTGTGGTCCTGTTATGACATCTACCTAAGGCAGGTCCTGTTTTCTCCCCCCAGTCCAGCCCACAGTCACCATCTCCCCCAGCAGGAACGACCCCCTCTCCCCCCGCACCCTGCTGCTCTGCACCGCAGCAGGATTTTATCCCCCGGAGATCGAGGTCCGCTGGCTGAAGAACGGGCGACGGGCGACGGAGGGGGTCTTCTATGGAGAGGTCCTCCAGAACGGGGACTGGACGTACCAGACGCAGATGATGCTGGAGGACACCCCCCAGCGCGGAGACGTCTACGCCTGCCAGGTGGAGCACGCCAGCCTGGAGACGCCCATCGCCGTGCAGTGGGGTACGGCCCTCCTCCCCCTTTCCCTCTGTGGGGGGAACTGTGGGTGGATTGGGGGAAGGAAAGGAGGGGCCTACGGTGGGCAAGGGGAAGGTGGCATCTTTGGAGGAAGCCATGGGCAATATTGAAACATAGAAACAGAGCGCGGCAGAAGGGGTCTCCCGGGCCATCTAGTCTGACCCCGGCTCCAGCCGGCTCTGCTCATAGAAACAGAGGAACAGAGAGAGTCAGAAGGGGTCTCCCGGGCCATCTAGTCTGACCCCGGCTCCAGCCAGCTCTGCTCATAGAAACAAAGAAACAGAGCGAGGCAGAAGGGGCCACCTGGACCATCTAGTCTGATCCCCGGCTCCAGGTGGCTCCACTCATGACATGCCCACCATGGGTAAGCTGAAGGTCTCCCTCTGGACAGAGATGCCAGCAGTCCCACATCCCCCCCTTTTTGTTCAGTCTGGAGCTGCGTCCAGCACCCCGCTTGCCTCCTCAGGGTATTCCAGGCTGGAACTGCCCTGCCCGGGAGGGACGGAAACACGACCCCAGTCATGCGGGCCTCTCAGACCGGGCCGGGGCCCGAGAGATCAGCTGTGGGGTCCCTCTCCCCATGTGTCGCGCATGGGATGGGCCCGCGTCAGTCCTGCCAGATGGACCACGCCAGCCTGGAGATCACCGTGCAGTGGGGCAGGGCACAATGGCACCAAGCAGAAGCGGCCAACCTATGGCTTGTGTGCCACAGGGGGCATGCAGAGCCCTCTCCGCCAGCATGTGAGCCAAGTCGCCCCAGCATCGCCCCAGCAGCCGAGCATCGGATAACAGTGCCCATATGGGCCATGCGCAGGCTCGGAAAGGAGTAGCGGTGCCAGGCGAAGTCATCATGAGCTGCGACTCGTTAGCCGCGACTCGTCCGAGCTTCTGCATGGCCGGTCAGCGTGCAGCCAAGGATGGATGGATGGATGGATGGATATTTGCTTGTATTGGCTGTGAGTCGCTTTTTCTAAACTAAAACCTCAATATTCAGGTTTTATTGCAGTGTTGGCACTTTGAGACAAATAAATGGGTTTTGGGCTGCAGTTTGGGCACTGGGTCTCTCCAAGGTTTGCCATCACTGGCCTAAAGCCCTGGCCAGCATCGTGCCCAAGTATTTTGCCCAGCCAAAATATCCGGGCTGCAACCCCTTCTCTGATGCTTGGAGTTTGCAGTCAGGTTCAGGGAGAGTCCTGGTTATGTCTCCCTTTTCTGCTGGGGCAACTTCATGAGAGGATGCAGAAGTCATCCCTGGTTTGGGCTGAAGGCCCAAAGGTTAATTGGTTGATTAATTAATCAATTAATGAGGCCCCATCTGTGAGGGAGTTCAAGGATAGGCTAGAAATGCACATGGTGGGCATGTTATGGGTGGAGCTGGGGGGGTCAGACTAGATGGCCTGGGAGACCCCTTCTGACTTGCTCGGTTTCTATGTTTCTAATTAATTAATTAATTAATTAATTAAAAGCTTTTCCATCCCATACCCTACAGAACGTCTAGGGATGGCTTACAATAAATAAATAGAATAGACCAGCCCCACAGCATCCGATCATTAATATTCTAAAGTCTCAACTAAAATCAATTAAACTTTAAAATAATGGGAAAATAAAGAGGTTTTTGCCTGATGCCAAAAAGAATATAACATCGGTGCCAGGCAAACCTCTCTGGGGAGCGTATTCCAGAGTAGGGGTGCCACTGCAGAGAAGGCCCTTCTCTGGGTACTCTCCCTCCTGATCTCCTTCAAGGAGGGCTCCCAGAGGGGGGCCTCTGCCTCAGATCTCAAGAGGTGGGAGGGCACATGGGGAAGAAGGCGCTCCTTCAGGTATCCCGGACCCAAGCTGTTTAGGGCTTTATGGGTATCACCATAAGCATCACCTTAAAGAGCAATGGCTCGAGGCTGATGGACCTGTGTCCTCACATGGGGCTACTTCTGTTTCCACAGAACCTTGGACGTCAGCATCTGCCCGGCGTAAAATATGGACAGGGGTCACAGTGGCTCTATTGGGCCTCCTCTTTGGGGTGCTGGGACTCTACCACTATCTGAAAAGCAAGAACGGTGACGGAAAAGGTTCTTCCTTCTGCAGGGGCTCAAGGGAACTGTAGCCCCCTCTTCAGACAGCAGCTCTGGACCTTCCAGATTAGAGACCACCATGAGGGCCATGATGGGCTGTCCTTGAAGAGAATTTGGGAGCTGTGGCTGGCACAGGATAATGCACTGGAAGTACTTGTTGGGCAACGAGTTGGGACCATCGTCTTCCTCTTCTGTCTCATCTCTACTAGATGACTGTTTGTTTCTGAGCCAAGTCCAGGCATGGGCTTTGGGCTGTGAAGGACTTCATGGTTTGGGACATAATCTGAAGGTTCACCTTCACCTGCTATAGCTCTGGGCTAGGTGTCCGCCAGCAAGAACCATCAGGTTGACGGGCATGAGGGAGCTGTAGAACTATCAGAAGGTGCGTGCTTTCCCTTTTGGAGGACTCTTCCAGAAGAAGAGGTATTGCCATACTCTAAATGGTGAAGCTTTAGTGGAGTCCCCATTAAATTTGTGGGTGCGTAATGTAGCTTCGTAATGTAGCTCGGTATCTATCTGGCCTTCTAGAGATCAACCCTGCCTGCTCTCTAGAAGGACAGATCCTGAAGATGGAGCTCAATGGAGATCAAGCTAGTCAATCTTAGATCAAACCGGTCAGTCCTAGAGGAGATCAACTCTGACTGCTCTTTAGAAGGCCAGATCCTGAAGATGAAACTCAAATTCTTTGGCCATCTAATGAGAAGGAAGGACTCCCTGGAGAAGAGCCTAATGCTGGGAACAATAGATGGCAAAAGAAGAAAGGGACGGCAGAGGATGGGGTGGCTGGCTGGAGTCAGTGAAGCAGTAGGCATGAGCTTGGGTGGACTCTGGGGGATGGTGGAGGACAGGAAGGCCTGGAGGAGTGTTGTCCATGGGGTCGCGATGGGTCGGACAAGACTTCACAACTAACAACAACAACGACGATGATGTAGCTTAAACATGTGATTTTATGCACGTCCGTCTAAATCCTAAAATCTCAGCATTCCTTAGCCAATGTGTGAGGAATTTTTGCACACTGCGTATTTTAAACTGTTGAAAGCCACCCAGAGAGCTTCGGCGATTTGCACACATGACTGGCTGCAAAATTGGGCAATGGCTCTTTAAGAAATAGAAAGCTCTTTAGAGAGTAACTCTCGGTCCAGATTTGCCAGTAAAATCTCCGGAGGCCTCTGCCTGTTGCTGAGACAACAACACTTCCAGCGCGAGTTCCAGCGAGCATAGACCTCTTCATAGTCCTGAAAGGCCTGGCTATCCAGCCTAGTTGGATGTCTGCCTCACTCCTCTAGTAAGTGCGACTGCTTCAGGTAGATTGCTCTGGGAAGGTGGAGCTCATCTAGGACATGTGCACGCTTGCCTTTCTCTGTAAAGAACAGGGAAGTGCCGTGGGGCAGAATGAAAATGTGTGTGTGGCGGATATTTCAAGGGACACCACGAATCTTGGCTATCCTCTGACTCTAGTAACATTCCTTCAAGGCCCAGAAAGAAAAGATGAGATACACAATCCCCTTTTTAGCCAAAGAAATTAACATGCAGGCAGAGAATTAATCACAACAACAACAAGCACCAGACATAGGAAGGCCTGCAAAAAACCTAAACTGATGCTTTGCATCTGCCTTCACTGCAAAAGAGGCAGGCCAGCCTTCCCCAACCTAGTGGCTTTAAGAGGCATTAGGACCACAACTCCAAGAATTCCCAGCCAGCAGGGCCATTGACTGGGCATTCTGGGTGTTGCAGTCCAAACGTGACTGGAAGGCCCATGGCTGGGGAAGGCTGATACACACAATGGACCTGCAATGACGAACTCAGGAGGGGAATCTAAAGAAGTGAGACAAACATCGGTGCCAAGAAAGGAGGAGAGTTTCAGTGCAGAGATACAAATTCTCTCTCCTAGTCCCCACAATCCCACCAGAGGCCCTGTCTGAACCAGGCAAACGGGGCATTGATGAATCACGCAATCCAAGAATAGCTGTGCCGGATCAGGTTATCTAGCCCAGCATCCTGTCCACACAGTGACCAAACACAGCAGCACAATGGAACCACCCAGGGATTCCGCCTCTAAAACCAGAGGCAGCCTAGAACTATGAGGACTAGCAGCACTGGCAGGCTGCTGCTCCAGGAACTAGTCCAGAACCCTTGCAAAGCCATCCGAATGGTGGCAGTGGGGAGGGCAGGGCAGGACCCTTGGGTGCCGTTCACCCTCTTGACCACCGCATCACACGGCTGACTCATGTTCACATGACTCCAGTTCTCCATCAGCTTCACTGGCTTCCCATTGAAGTCCAGGCCCAATTCAAGGTGTTGGTGATGACCTATAAAGGCGAGTCAGTGTGGTGTAGTGGTTAAGAGCATGGGACTGGGACTCAGAGGATCCGGGTTCTAGTCCCCGCTCAGGCACGGAGCCAACTGGGTGACTTTGGGCCAGTCACAGACTCTCAGCCCAACCTACCTCACAGGGTTGTTGTTGTGGGGATAAAATGGAGGAGGAGAATGATGTAAGCTGCCTTGACCCCTTTGTAGGAAAAAGGCAGGATATAAATCCAAAAATAAAAAATAAAAGTAAATAAATAAATAAACGGCTTGGGTCCTGGTTACCTGAAGGAGCGCTTACATCCATATATGCCCGCCCGCCCCTTGAGATCTGCGGGAGAGGCCCTTCTCCGGGAACCCTCTGTGAAAGAAATTAGGAGGGTAGGTACTCGGAGGAGGGCTTTCTCTGCGGTGGCGCCCAATCTATGGAATGTGCTCCCCAGAGAGGTCCGCCTGGCACCGTCGTTACTGTTTTTTCGGCGCCAGGCGAAGACCTTTTTATTTAAGCGGCATTTTAATTGTTAATATTATTGGATTTTATCTGGCCAGGGCGGCTTATTTTTTATTGGTATTTTTGCATTTTAACTTAATGTTTGTATTTTTAATTTAATGTTATAATTATTTTTTAACTTAGCGTTGTAAGCCGCCCCGAGGCTTCGGCGAATGGGGCGGCATAAAAATGTTTTAATAAATAAATAAATAAATAAATGTTTAGTCTGCCATCGACTAGCATCCCAAGATCCCTTTCACAAGTACTGCTCTCCAGACTCTTGTCCCCTAACCTGGACTTATGACACCTATTCCTATGCCCCAAGTGCAAGACCTTGCACTTATCCACATTGAACGCCATCCTGTTGTCTCCTGCCCACTCCCATTACTTGTGTATACCCCTGCCTCTTTTCCTTCCCAGAAACTCAAGGCAGTTTCAATAGTTCGCCTCCACTCGTTTTACAGAAACAACCCTGCGAGGTAGGCTGGGCTGAGAGTCTGCGACTGGCCCAAAGTCAGGCAGCTGGTTCCATGGCTGAGCGGGGGTCCTTGACCCCGGATCTCCATCCTGCCCTCTCAGCCGCAACAGCACATTGGCTCTCAGTGGTGTGTTAGCCCCAGGGGTTGATGCTGGCTGGGAATTCTTCATTGCCCCTGCGGGAAGCACCGTTTTCCTCCTCCACCCGCTCTCCCTTTCCTCGCGCGCTGTGCACTGCAAACCGCTTCCGATCCTCTGCAAATTTCGCAAAGGAAACAGCTGCGCAAAGTTGCAGCTGTTGCAGGTCCATCAGACCGCGTTCGCCTCCCTCTCAAGCCGCATCCTGCCTTCTCGGCCCTCCACCAGCAGCGGGGATCCACAAAACATTCATCCGGAGCCTCGCTTTCGGCGGCGCAAGAATTCGGCGCAGCGCCCGCCCCATTGAGCACCCATGTCCTAATGGCAACCAGTCGGAAGATGCACGTTCACATTCCCAGCCGCACAAAGTCTTATTTCCCAATGCATGTGTATTTTTTTTACAATTGCACAAAACGTGTCGCGCTGCACATCAGAATAAAGCCGGGGCCTGGGCTGGGGCGGGGGCATCTGGCCTGGCTTATGGGGGCGGATCTGGCCTGGGTTGGGGGGGGGGGCACCATCTGGCCGGGGGGGGGGGAACCGGGCTGGGGGGGGGGGGGGGGGGGGGGGGGCGGATCTGCCCTGCAGGCCTTTTGAACCTCGCACGTTTGTTGCAAAAGAAAAATGGGAGGATTCAGTTCCAGGCCCCCTCCTCTCCTTCCCCAAGTGGCATTGCATCCCCCCTCCCCCCCGTTCCTCGAAGGCTCCGGACACTCACCGGATCTTCTGGGGAGGGGGGCAAAGTCAGCCCGGAGATCAAAGACTCCATTCCCGGGGCGGGGAGAGTCCCGGAAGTGATCGATGCCGAGCGTGTTCGCTCTAACCTTTCTAGGAGTCTAGACTCTGTTCCTTCTCGACCGCGCCTTCCCCAACCGGGCGCCCTGCGGGGGTCTACAGCTACAAATTTCACCATCCCCTCCCAGCGTGGGGCTGATGGGAGCTGCAGGCCCGCAGATTTCGTGGGCGTCGGGTTGGAGGAGGGTGCTGCGGTCCATCACCTTGGGGAACAGAGAAATAAACGTGGGGGGGGGGCGAAGTTTCCCCGAGCCTCTCTTAAAAGGATCAGGGAATTGTGTGTGGGGGGGGTCTCCTTTTCGGGAATGGGCTCCCCTACAGGGGACTGTCCAGAGCCGAAAGGCTGGTGCGTTGCTCTTCCTTTCCTGTCTGGTGCGTGTGATCCTCTTGTTGTGCACCCCCACCCCCCGGGAAAAAAAAAAAAACCTCCATTTGATGAAGCGTGCTGTGTAGCCCACGAGAGTTGCATTCCTGACCATATTAGCCTATTGGATAAAAGAAGAAGAGCAGGAGAGGAGTGCTGGATCAGACCCAGGGACTGCCCTCCCCCCCCCTCCCCCAGCGGGATCCTACAGGCAGGATAGGAACGCAGAAACATATCAGAATCCTCCCGCCCATGTTCCCCAGCAAGCAGTGTGCGCAGGCATTGCGTCTCTAATACAAGAAGGCACGGAGCCATGAGGACTAGTAGTATGCATTTCCCCAACGTCGTTCAAAGCCATGGGGGGGGGCGGTGGACTGGCGCGATGGGGGCGAGGAGAGGATCATGGCTCCATTTCCACCTTCTGGGCAAGCCTTGACCATCCGTTTGCCCCCCCCCCCGCCCCTTGCTCGATGAAGAGATCTGCAGATCCCCGAACCTTGCACATTTTATTCTGGCTTCGTGGCAGGCCTAATGAACGCTTTACTCAAAAATGCGTTTGCTTTGCATCTGTTTCTTCGTTTCTCCCCAGTAGCAGATCAGACAGTTTGCAGGTCGGGAGTGGGGAGGATCCAGGGGTCCCCCCCCCCCATCCGCATGAATGTCCATGGAGGACAGAGGGGGGCTAAATTTCTCGGCTTATATCCCCCTCCCTGCAGTCACGCGCCAGTAGCGCGAGTGGAGGGGAGACCGCCCCTCCCGATCCCGCTGGCTGGGGATCATGGGAGTTGCAATCCGGCCGTCCGATTTAAGACTGGAGAAGCTGCACTCCAAGGGTTAAAGCCATTGCTCGCTTTCCTAGAGAGGCAGCGGGGAGGTTTCACTTCCTCTCCATTTGGGAATCGGGTGAGTGCAATGGAAGATCGGGGGATGGGGTGATTTCTGCAGGGCGGGTGGCTCCCTAATTGTGGGGGGGCTGGGGTGGTTCCGTGGTGGAAGAGCCTTCCTCCGCATGCAGGGAGGCCCGGCTCAAAAGCGCAGGACCCGCCCGCCACCACTGCCACCGTCCCCGCTTCCGTCCTCCGCGCGGGGGCAGGAGACTGGGGACCGGCAAGTGGAGGAGTGAAGGGAGGGGCGAAGCTGCCTGCGGGGCTAGCGCTGCTGCGTGGACGGAGGTCCCTGCGGAGCCGGAGGCGGGACGTGGCCGGCGGAGCAGGCTAACCCCCGGGGACTTCGAGCCACGATCTGCTGGCTGCGCCGGGCTGGGGAAGCTCCCTGCCTCTTGGCTTGCTGCTGTTAGTCGCGAAGTCGCGTCCGACCCATCGCGACCCCATGGACAACCTTCCTCCAGGCCTTCCTGCCCTCCACCAACCCCGGAGTCCACCCAAGCTCAACCCAACTGCTTCAGTGACTCCATCCAGCCACCTCATCCTCTGCTGTCCCCTCCTTCTTTTGCCATCTATTGTCCCCAGCATTAGGCTCTTCTCCAGGGAGTCCTTCCTTCTCATTAGGTGGCCAAAGTATTTGAGCTTCATCTTCAGGATCTGGCCTTCTAGAGAGCAGTCGGGGTTGATCTCCTCTAGGACTGACAGGTTTGATCGCCTTGCGGTCCGAGGGACTCGCAGGAGTCTCCTCCAGCACCACAATTCAAAGGCCTCAATCCTTTGGCGCACAGCCTTTCTTATGGTCCAACTTTCACAGCCATACATTGCAACTGGGAAAACCATAGCCCTGACTATACGCACTTTTGTTGGCAAGGTGATGTCTCTGCTTTTTAGTATGCTGTCTAGATTTGCCATAGCTTTCCTCCGCAGGAGCAAGCGTCTTTCAATTTCTTGGCTACAGTCCCCGTCTGAGGTGACCTTGGAGCCCAGGAAAATAAAATCTGGCACTACCTCCATTTTTCCCCTGTCTATTTGCCAGGAAGTGAGAGGACCAGATGCCATGATCTTAGTTTTCCTAATGTTGAGTTTCAAGCCAACTTTTGTGCTCTCCTCCTTCACCGCATCAAGAGGCTCTTTAGTTCCTTTTCACTTTCTGCCATGAGAATGGTGTCACCTGCATATCTGAGGTTGTTGATATTTCTCCCAGCAATCCTAATTCCAACTAGTGATTTCTCTAGTTCCACCTTTCTCATGAAATGCTCTGCATATAAGTTAAATACACAGGGTGACAGTATACAGCCTTGCCGAACTCCTTTCTCACCAATCAGTGGTTCTGTGTCCAGTTCTCCCAGCTGCTTCTTGACCCGCATATAGGTTTCTCAAGAGGCAAATAAGATGGTCATGGACTACCATCTCTTTAAGAACTTGCCACAATTTTTTGTGATCCACACAATCAAAGGCTTTAGCATAGTCAGTGAAGCAGAAATAGATGTTTTTCTGGAACTTTGACTTGGGGGTCTGCAAAGTCTGGCAGCAGATGCAGTCCTGGAAGGGGCCAGAGGGCCACCCGGTGCAGCCCCTGCTCTGTGCCAGACTCCCAAGTTAAAGCTCCCCAGCAGGCCGTAGGGGCAACCACCTCCATGGGTGGTTGCCCCTCTTGCCCCACTGTGCTCCCTATTGCCCTCCTCGGGGCCTTCTCCTGCATCCACAGTTTGGGTCCACAGATGACTCCACAAGCTCAGAAATGCATGGCCATGAGCCGCAATTCCCACCATCCCCACCCAGCACGCTGGCCCGGAATGCTGGGAGCCGCCCTCCAGCTCCAGCATCCGGGGTCACCTCCGTGCCAGATGTGGAGAAGGTGGATTGGGAGCCGTTCCTTTCTCCCAGTACCTGGGTTCAGCCTGGTCATCCCATGGAGCCAAGCTGGGCACCCTGACTTCTCCACACTGGCGATGCTGGACATGCACATGGTGGGCATGTCGTGAGCGGAGCCGGGGTCAGACTAGATGGCCCGAGAAGTCCCTTCTGACTCACTCTGTTCCTTTGTTTCTATGCTGGGAGGCCTTCCTTGCAGCGGTTCCCACAATTGGTTTGCCACTGTTTTGCAGACTTTCCAGTCTGGAGCTGACGCTGCTGCAGCTTCAGATGCATCCCAGAAACCTTGTTCCCCTGCAGAGTCCCTGCCCCGTTCCCAAAGCAGGACTCCCGGCTGAGAAGCATAGGCCTTTTCCAGACAGACCACTCTCCAGGAAGTAGCTCCTTGTCGGTGTGGATGAGGAGATACAAGGTGGATGGAAGAGGCCCCGTCTTCGCCCAGGGCTCATTTAAACTGTGGAACTCACTGTCACAAGATGGGGTGACGGGCACAGATGTGGATCACTTCCAAAGGGAGTGGGGCAAATTCATGGAGACACAGGCCCTCTGTCTGCCCCTGTTGGTCCTGATGCTTGCCTCCCATCAGTCCAGGACCAGGGGCAGTGTGTGTCTCAGCCTTACTTGAACACCCTGCCATTATCATCATCATCATCATCATCATCATCATCATCATCATCATCATTTATTTATTTATTTATTTATGGGATTCATAGACTGTCCATCACTGTCGTCTCTGGACAGCCTGCAGTGTATTATAAATCCTAAGCAAAATAAATTGTCTAGACCACAACTGAGCATATAAATGCTATGGTTGAAATAAATTAGATAAATAAATATACAATTAAAATTGATTAGCATTAAAATATTGGTCAAATAAAAAGGTCTTGACCAGGCACCGAAAAGCATATAATGATGGCGCCAGGCGGACCTCTGATCATCATCGTGGCATTGCATCACTGCCTCTCCTGTTTCACTCTTGCAAGGAACCCAAGTCCTCCCCCCTGTTTTATCTGCCCAACAACCCTGTGATGTAGGCTAGAGTGACTGAGAGTCAGTCCCCATGTCACTGGGGATCATGGGCAGGGGGGCACTTTTGTGCTCCTGCCCTTTTTGTGGGGTTCCCATGGGAGCGGCTGGTTGGCCCCTGCATGGACAGGAGGTTGGGGTCCGGCTCAGCAGGGCTGTCTTTCTGTACCCACATTTACCCCGCTGGGAAAAGCCATGTGTGTGAGCTTTCAAGCTACACAGGACTCTGCGTCTGGATGGACCAACACCCTTTAATGTCAGCAGTGGTGGGGGAAAGAGTTTCTAGTTGCTACATATCCTTGTTTTGGCACGTGGCTCTTAATTTCATGTATTAAATAGTTATTTAAACTATTTCTTGGCCATCTCTCAGGCCAGGAGCCCTTCTAAATTATTACAAAATGAGGAATGAACCACCTAAGAACACCACTGCAGGGATGAAACAGTAAAACACATTTTTTCTATTCATTCAGTTAATGAGTTGCTCCATAGCCAAAGATCTCTGGGTGGCATGCATAATAAGAATAAATATAATAAAAACACTAAAATGACTTTTTAAAGTAGCAGCAATAATTCAGCAACAAACGCCTAGGAGCAGCTAAAACATGGGGAAATGGTTTGGGAATGCTGAATCAAACATACTAAAAATAAAAACTATTCTGTTTCTGAAAAGTCAGTAAAGTCAATGCCAACCAGACCTGTATAGAAATGTGACAGGCTGGAAACATTCCAGGGGGAAAGGTAGGATTTTCCCCAGACTATTATTTTTTCCTGGAAAAATTTCTGAAAATAAAAAAAAATATATTAGGGATTCATAGAATCATAACATAGCACAGTTAGAAGGGGCCAAGAAGGTCATCGGGTCCCAAGACACCAGTTAACACTATCTCATTTTTCTTCAAAATAATCAAATTTTAAAGAAGGTCTTCATATATTTACTCCCTAAAAATATTTTCTAAAACCTATATACTTTTCATGTAGGACAGTGCAGTATCTGATCATTGTGATGTTTGTGCATGGAAAACAAGCAAGCCTCAGGTTGTAAACGGAGACCGCAACTCTCAAATGCGAGCGGATTTTATGGGAACAAGTGCCCCGTCTCTTCAGCAGTGGGGGAGAGGTCTAGTGGGTAGATCCTTGTTTTACTCATCTCGACGGCTTCCTCCGGCTTCCTTTTGGGCCTGCCTCTCCCCAGAATCTGGCAAGAGCAAAGCGGTTCCTTACAGTTCAGGACATGGACTAACTTTGCAAAGTAAATGCCGTTTCTACTTACCTGAACAAGCTGTACTTTGATACGCCAAATAGGATCGTTTTGATCCCAAACCAAAATAAGAAAGTGACTTTCGACCTACCACTGTTGCTAAGACTGCATTTTCGCCCCCCCCCCCACAATATTCCCAAAAGGTTTTTTTTTAATCCGCATCCACCCAAGGCTTTAGACATTGTACATCTCACTGGGGGGTGTTCCTCAGTTTGGGGCCACTGCAGAAAAGACCAGCTCATGAATGCCCCCCCCCGGAATCCAAGAGTGAGGGGGTCTCACACTTGAGTTATGGTCTCAGAGCACGGGCAGAGAGGTTGGGAGGGGTCAGCAACACCAGCAGCGTGGACTGGCTCCAGAAACCAACGAGGTTGTCTTCTTTCCTGCAGGAGATCCCCACCTTGGCAGCTGGAGGGATCCAGGGATCCACGTTTGCTCCAGAAAGCATCCCCCCGTGACCAAGAATCCGACGTCTGCACAGCTCCGAAATGGATGCAGCAAGCCCAGGTGGGCAGACCGCAGCCGGGGAATCCGAATCCTTCCAGGCTGGCGAGGGGAGGGAGCTGTGGGCAGGGACAGTGCCGGATATCCTTGCTGGGGACACCTCCAGCTCGGGTGCACAGTGCCGGCGCTTCAGACATTTGCACTACCAGGAATCCGAGGGCCCCCGTGAGGTCTGCAGCCGGCTCTACCAGCTTTGCCATCACTGGCTGAAGCCCGAGAGGCACACGAAAGCACAGATGCTGGACCTGGTGATCCTGGAGCACTTTTTGGCTGTCCTGCCCCCGGAGATGGAGAGCTGGGTCAGGGGATGCGGGCCAGAGACCAGTTCCCAGGCGGTGGCCCTGGCAGAAGGGTTCCTCCTGAGCCAGGCAGAAGATGAGAAGCAGGAAGATCTGCAGGTGAGGGAGAGTTTTCTCCTGGTAGTTCCTGTATTTGTGATATCCTTCTTTGGGCTCCATAGGAGGGAGAAATCTTGTCTCTGGCCATCTTGCCTCCTCGGGATAATTATCTGGCCAGGAGGGGATGGCCAGATTGCGCTCTGGCCCCGCTGAAGCCAGAAGGGTCAGCGGAGAGAGGAAGAGGGTGGCCATCTCTCCCTTGGGTGCATCATTCCCTTAAGCTTTTTCCCTTTCCAACTTCTCTTCCCATCCGTGCATTGGACTCTGGCCGGGTTTGCAGAAGCAAGAACTCCTGGAAGTGGTCACTGCATCTCCTGCTTCATTGCTTCCTGGAGGGACCTCGCAGGAGGAGCAAGGCTGGGACAGTTCACAAGGTAAGTGAAAATTCCCCGTGCCTGAGGTCCTGAGGTCCATGAAGTCCTCAAGAGAAATTCATAGAAACATACAGACAGAGGGAGTCAGAAGGGGCCTCCCAGGCCATCTAGTCTGACCCCCTGCTCCAGCCGGCTCTGCTCACGACATGCCTCCCATGTGCATGTCCGGCCTATCCTTGGACACCCTCACCCATGGGGCCTCAACGACCTCTCGTGGAAGCCCATTCCACACCCTCGGGGTCCTAACGGTCAGGAAGTGCTTCCTGGCATCCAAATTGAACCTTGCTTCCCTGAGCTTTGCTCTGTTGGAGTGTGTCTTGCTCTCCTCTGCAGGGGAGAACAGGTCTCTGCCCATCTCCATGTGACACCTCCTCACATACCTGTATGTCTCCAACAGATCCCCTCTGAGTCTCCTCTTCTCCAGGCTGAAGAGACCCAGTTCCCTCAGTCTCGCCTCATACCCCATCCCCAGAAACCGGCCACCAACCTTGTGGTCGTACGCTGCTCTGACTCAGACCTGGCTATATCCTTCCTGTAACGAGGGGCCCAAAGCTGAGCACAATACTCCAGTTGCAGGCGCACCAGAGTCGTGTAGAGTGGCAGCAATACCTCTCTCCATCTTGGTTGTTTCTGTCTATGCAGTCAAGGGTGGCGTTCGCCCTCTTGGCCATCACAGCACACTGCTAGGTCATGTTTAGCCTGCATTTGACCAGTACCCTGAGGTCCCTTTCACAAGTGCTGCTCTCCAGCCACTTGTCCCCTAACCTGTACTTACGACACCTATTCCTAGGCCCCAAGTGCAAGACTTTGCACTTATCCACATTGAACGCCATCCTGTTCTCTCCTGCCCACTTCCACAGTCTGTCCAGATCCTTCTGGATCCGGAGTACCTTCTCCTCAATTCGAACCCCCTTCATCCCATGCTCCCCACCTGATATGCATCTGCCACTTTTAGAAGAACGCCTTGACCCACGCGGACAAACGGGGGTTGCCTCCAACCGTTCATTCACACGGCTTCAAAGAGACTTGCTTCTCCACCTTCCTCTTCCTCACAGGCCACGGAGGGTCGCCGCTGATGCTCACGGAAGGGTCTCCAGTTTGTGGTGATGCAGAAGCTGTTCAGGTAGGGGATGGGCCGACGTGTCTGGAGGACCATGTCTGTGCGTGTGTCCATTTTTGTTACGGAGCTCAAGGCATCGATGGTGCGCAGCCCGGCATCCTCTCGGCGAGGCGCACCTCTTTTCCTTACACGGTCTTCTCTTCCACCTGTATTTTATCCTAACCGCACAACCCTGTGAGGTAGACAAAGCTGAGAGCCCGGGACTGGCCCAAAGTCACCCAGTGCACTCCGTGTCCAGGTGGACCCTCGAACCCAGATCTCCTGAGTCCTGATCCACCCCTCCCACTGCTACACCACCCAGACTTCCTAGATGCTCGGAAGCCGCCCAGAGGGCCCTTTGGGCTATTGGGGTGGTATATAAATGCAATAACTTTATTTATTTATTTTATTTAAACCGTTTATATGCCCTCCTTCACTATCGCGTCTCAGGACGGCTTACAAGATTAAAACCAATAGTCATAAAAACAAGCAACCAAACAGTATGATAAAATTACTATAAACCAATACAGATGAATCAAATTAACAGCGACTATGAACCACTAAAAATGCTAATTTTTAAAATAACGCTTAATTTATTTATTTGTAAACAAGTAAATTAAATAAATAACAAATAGATGCGTACTCCCTATACCTGGCGTCTTCAGATGTGTGGGGGTACCATTCCCATCATCCCCAGACAACATGGTCAGAGTAGGAAAGGCTGCACTGTGGAGACCGAAGTTCAAGTCCCTGCTTTGCTGCAGCAGTTCATTTTGGGGGGGGGGGGGGGGCTAAGTTCAGTTGCTGCCTCTTCACTTGGCCTACCTCACAAGGCTGTTGTGAAAATAGATTTATTGACCGGCTTCTGTGCTGTCCCCTCTGGTGGATTGCAATCCCGAGGCGAATTGCAATGTTGAAAGCAGCACGTGGCGTCTTAAAATGGGAGCAGAAGTAGCATATGCGGTGCAGCTGTTAAAAATAGACGCTGATGATTGATTGATTGATTGATTGATTGATTGGAAAGATATTTACCCAGCCTGTCCACATGTATTTACATTGCTTACGACAGCTCACAAAAGATTTAAGCTAACAAGTTGCTCATCATGATCGAAACAGCCTTTAGCCATGAGAGAGAGAGATGGGGGGGGGGATCAGGGAGGGGGCAGATGGGTCTCCCGTGGTGGGTCCCCACAGTCTTCCTCCACATTTTGGCCACTCTCCTATAGGACCGGCTCCCAGGCGATGTGGGACTGGGATCTAGCGGTCCTCCCTCTCTCCTAGGCGTCACCAGTGGTGCCAGTCAGGGTGGGGGGAAGCGACAGGGCCTTCTCCCCCTTCCCCATCCTCTGCTTCTGCATTCGGACTAGGCAGGCCCCTGATCCTGCATTGCTCCCTGTCTGGCCCCAGGCAGGGATGGGAACCGGGGCCTCCACTTCTGCTGGATCTGCCTCCCTTCGTGCCCCAGACCTGCCCCACAAACATCCATTTTGGAGCCTTCCCTTGGTGGCTGGGCAGAGTTGGGGAACTGAGGTGGCAATTCTGCCCCACAGCGTCATCGCTCCATCCACAACCTTCCCAGGAAAGGCAGGCCCCTGATCCTGCATTGCTCCCTGTCTGGCCCCAGGCAGGGATGGGAACCGGGGCCTCCACTTCTGCTGGATCTGCCTCCCTTCGTGCCCCAGACCTGCCCCACAAACATCCATTTTGGAGCCTTCCCTTGGTGGCTGGGCAGAGTTGGGGAACTGAGGTGGCAATTCTGCCCCACAGCGTCATCGCTCCATCCACAACCTTCCCAGGAAAGGCAAAGCTCCAAAATCCATGCAGGGACCTTTTGGACCACACCAGCTCTGAGTACAGCTTTTTGCCAAGATGGAGGTTCCTGTACCGCCTGGTGCAGTGGCCCCAAATAACCCTGAGCGAGGACCCACAGCTTGATTTTGGTTGGGTGGTCCACCATGGATTGTTATCACAACTGGTTTTACAACACAATCATGTGTGTTCCACCAAGAGCCCAGTATGTGTGCATGTATTTAAAGCTTTTCTATACTGTTCTCATTACCAAAAGTCTCAGGATGGTCTCAGTAATAGCCCACACTCGACCCATATTCCACCCTGAATTTTCATCTCTGAACTCAGTATCTAAGTTCTCCTGGAGCCTCAGTTCTCATCTCGTAGAATCCGAGAACAGAAGAGTTGGAAGAGGATGACCCCATGAAGGCCATCGGGTCCAGCTTCTGCTGTTGCAGGACACCAATTTACATCATCCCACTCAGATGACCGCCCAGTTTCATCCTGAATGTCTCCAGTGTGGGGATCCCACCCCCTCTCTAGGCAGATGGTTCCACTGTCGTATTGCTCTGAGGAAGCTCTTCCTGATGTCCAGCCTGAATCTGGGCTGGTGCAACTTGAATTGATTATTCCTTGTCCCACATTCTGGCATTAGCAAGAAGAGATCTTGACCTCCCTCTTTGTGACATCCTTTGAGGTCCTTATAGAGGGATATCATGTCCCCCCTCAGTCTTCTCTTCTCAAGGCTGAACATGCCCAGGTCTCTCAGTCTCTCCTCATAGGGCAGTGTTTCCAAACCCTGCATCATTTTTGTCGCTTTCTGCTGGACCCTTTCTAATTTACCTGCGTCTTTCTTAAATCTTGGTGCCCAGAACTGGACACAGTATTCCAGGTGAGGTCTGACTAGTGAGGAGTATAGAGGAACTGCTTCTTCTTGTGATCTTGAAGTAATACTTCTGTTAATGCATCCCAAAATAGCATTTGCCCTTTTGGCAGCTGCATTGCATTGTTGGCTCATGTTTAGCCTATTGTCCACAATTACTCCAAGATCTTTTTCCTTTTCAGTTCTGCTGAGCCACATATTCCCCAACTTGTATCGATGCCTTTGGTTTCTTTTTTCTCAGTGGAGTATTTGGCACTTGTCCTTGTTGAATCTCGTTCTGTTGCTTTCAGCCCAGTGTCCAAGTTTATCAGGATCGCCCTGGATCTTTGTTCTGTCTTCTAGGGTGTTTGCTATTCTACCCAGTTTTGTATAGTCTGGAAATCTGATTATCTCTCCTTGTACTTCCTCATCTAAATCATCAGTTCAGATGTTGAAGAGCACTGGGCCCAGGACTGAACCCTTTGGCGCCCCACTAATTACCTCCATCCAACCTGAGAAGGTGCCATTAATGAGCACTCTTTCTGTCCAACACTTCCACTTCCATGAACAAAATTTGTGAGCGCTGAAGCTGTTGCCGGCTCATGTCATATTCTCCCAGGGCAACATCTTCGCTGCACGTTCTGGACCAAGTGAAGCTTCCGGAGGCTCTTCAAATGCAGTTCCTGACACACCAAAATTACTGCGACTTGGTGCAAGTGCATCCTCCGGTGGAGGCAGCCAGCTGTCCCCGTGGGGCTTGCGCATGCATCCATCACAAAGCTTTGCAGGGGGAATTACGAGTGCAGGAGGAGGAGGTGCCACACCTGTCTGGGTGTCGTAATGGGAAATGTGTTTCTTTCTCTTTCAGTGCCCCATGACCTTCGAAGAGGTGGCTGTGTACTTCACCAACGAGGAGTGGGCCCTGCTGGATTCAGGCCAGAAGTCCCTGCACCGGGAAGTCATGCTGGAGAACTCCAGGAACATGTCCTCGCTGGGTAAGGGTCCCCTTTGAGCAGAAAGAGTTGGGAAGGACCCAGATCCACTGTTCTTCTCTGCAGGCAGGCCTTTCACCAGGCTGGAGTATTTATTTATTCTATTAAGTCTATTCTATTTATTTATTCTATTTATGCATGGCATCTCAGGACGGCTTACAATCAATTCAAATCAAATACATTAAAGCAATCTATAGCAATAAATCAATAACGTAAAGCCAATAAAATAAATTAAACACAATTGTTACATTAAAATACTAATTTTTAAAATAACGGTGAAATAAAAAGGGTTTGACCCGGCGCTGAAAAGAGTATAAGCTCGGCACCAGGCAAACCTCTCCGTATGAAAGGAAAGCTGAGAAAAAATTGAAACCAAATGCAGTTTTCACACTGAAACAGTGATCATGAAACAGGGAGGTTTCTCAAGTATGACAAAACCTTGTTGTTAGTCGCAAAGTCATGTCCGACCCATCGCGACCCCATGGACAACCTTCCTCCAGGCTTTCCTGGCCTCCACCATCCCCTGGAGTCCGCTTACGCTCACAAAAACTGCTTCCGTGACTCCATCTAGCCACCTCATTCTCTGCCGTCCCCTTCTTCTTTTGCCATCATTTGTTCCCAGCATTAGGCTCTTCTCCAGGGAGTCCTTCCTTCTCATTAGGTGGCCAAAGTATTTCAGCTTCATCTTCAGTGTCTGGCCTTCTAAAGAGCAGTATAAAAGACATGGCAACCCACTCCAGTATCTTTGCCATGAAAACCCCATGGACAGTACCAAAAGACAAAACCTTAGAAACATGGAATTTAGTATCACACCCCAAAATTGCAAAAACATAGCTAAAATGGTGCAGCTAAAGTTTTAAATTGGACTCGTAGAGATCCAGTACCGACAACTCCAGGGCACCCCTGCCAGGTTTGGATACCAAATCAAGTTGCAGTAAGTTCCCATTGCAGCTTACATATTACGGATGGCAGCTAAATAAGCAAGATGCTGGAATTGTGGACACAAGCCTATAGCCAAAGAGTCTCGTCTGGTACCATCACTTTCTTCTTTTCTGTGCCAGGTCAAAATCTTTTTATTTTCCCAATGTTTTAAGACCCGACTGTTTTAATTGGGGTTTTATCATTAGTTAAATTTTAGGATGCTGTATTTTTTAAAAAATACATTTTGTATTGTTAAACTGTCCCAAGACTTCAGTAATGGGATGGTCCTGAGAAGTTTTAGATAAATAAATACCCAGCCAGAAAAAGACCATGCCTTCTCTCTGTGGTTTATAGCCAGTTAACAAACCACAGTTTCTTTGCAACAGGTTGTGGTTCAGACAAAGTAGCAGTTCCCTTATATTCTTCACTAGTCAGACCTCACCTGGAATATTGTGTCCAGTTCTGGGCACCAAGATTTAAGAAAGACACAGGTAAATTAGAAAGGGTGCAGAGGAGGGCAACGAAAATGATCCAGGGTTTGGAAACACTGCCCCGTGAGGAGAGACTGAGAGAACTGGGCACGTTCAGTCTTGAGAAGAGAAGACTGAGGGGGGACGTGGTGTCCCTCTGTAAGTGCCTCAAAGGCTGTCACAAAGAGGAAGGTCAAGATCTCTTCTTGCTGATGCCAAAGTGCAGGACACGGAGCAGCCAATTCAAGTTGCGACAACCCAGATCCAGGCTGGACATCAGGAAGAGCTTCCTCACTGTCAGAGCAATGCAACAGTAGAACCAGCTGCCTGGAGAGGTTCTGGGCTCTCCCACACTGGAGAGATTCAGAAAAAGAACCTGGACAGCCCTTTGAGTGGGTTGGTGGAACTTGGTGTCGTGCAACACCAATGGCCTTCATGGCCCCTTCCAACCCTGTCATTCTATGATTCTATGAAAGCATAGAGCTGGAATTCAACAGATCATACTGTGGCCTCAGGGTGTGTGTAAAACAGCCCCATCTTAACCTTGTCTGCCACAACACTGAGAAAGGGTCAGTGAAGGGCAGTGGGGTGCAGTGGTGGCCTGGGAGTTGGAGGGAAAGGGGTCTAGTCCCCACTTGGCCATGAAGCTCCCTGGGTGTCTTCACGCCTGTCATGGACCCTCAGCTGGACACATCTCACAGGGTTGCTGTAAGGGTAAGATGGAGAGGAGAAGCCTCCTTTGTAGGTACTTAGAGCTCCTTGGAAGAGGGAAAAGTTGGGCTATAACTCTAGTGCAGGCAGAGTACTATTCTTTGGGTCCCATTTGAGTTCATAGGGTGATCCTTGATCAAAAGTTTCCGTTTTCCTCCACATGCTCTGACCAGAGTTTGTTCTTGTTCTCTCTCTGCCTCTCTTTCTGTGTCTCTGCCTCTTGGCTTTTCTCTCTACCTTCCTCTCTCTGCCTCTGCCTCTCTCTCTGTTGTCTCTGCCTCTGCCTCTATTGTCTCTGTTTCTTGTCTTTCTTTCTGCCTCTTGCCTCTTGTCTCTCTCTCCCTCTTTCTCTCTCTGCCTCTGCCTCTCTCTCTGTTGTCTCTGCCTCTATTGTCTCTGTCTCTTGTCTCTCTCTACCTCTCTCTCTGTTGTCTCTGCCTTTATTATCTTGTCTGTTTCTCTGTCTGTCTCTTCTTTCTCTCTCTCTCTCCTCCATCAGGTGATGGGTGGGATACTAACAATGATGACAGACCATCTGGGGCATTCTCAGAAAGAAATGCGATTCAAGAGATGGAACAAGTCTTCATCAATCTCGAAGGACCAAGGGAGCAGCAAGGGGCCCAAATTAGGAATCTGAGGTATACATCTTGGCAGGGGAAGAACTTCCTTGAAGGTCAAGCTCCACAAGAAAAGCAAAAGGAAAAGAAAAGGTACATCTGCCCGGTATGCGAGAAAACCTTTAACCACAAATCCCACTTCAATGTCCATAAAAGCATCCACACAGGTCAGAAGCAGCATAAATGTCCAGAGTGCGGAAAATGCTTCAGGCAGAACTCACACCTGACATCTCACCAGAGGATCCACACGGGGGAGAGGCCGTATCAGTGCCTGGAGTGTGGAAAGAGCTTCAGGGAGCGTGCACACTTCACTTCGCATCGGAGGATCCACACCGGGGAGAAGCCATACACATGCTCGGAGTGCGGGAAGAGCTTCAGCAGGAGTGCCAACCTCGCTTCCCATCTCAGAAAGCACAAAGGAGAGAAACCCTACCAGTGCCCGGAGTGTGGAAAGAGCTTTAGGGAGCGTACCCACTTCAGTTCCCATCGGAGGATTCACACCGGGGAGAAACCCTATCAGTGCTCGGAGTGTGGAAAGAGCTTCAACAGGAGCACAAACCTCGCTTCCCATCTTAGAAAACACACAGGGGAGAAACCATATAATTGCTCGATCTGCAACAGGAGTTTCTGCGACAAGTCGGGACTGAATCTCCATCAGTTAATTCATTCCAGAGATAAGCCCCATAAGTGTCTGGTGTGCGGCAAGAGCTTCATTCGCCGTTCACAGCTCACGTCCCACGAAGGGATCCACACCGGGGAGAAACCGTACAAATGCCTGGTCTGCGGAAAAAGCTTTCATCGGAGCTCCAACCTTACGTCACATCAGCGAATCCACATAGGAGAGAAGCGTTACAACTGCTCCGAATGCAGCAAGAGCTTTTATGATAAGTCGCGCCTTCTTAAGCACCAAAGAATCCACACAGGGGAGAAACCCTTTAAATGCTTGGAGTGCGGAAGGAGCTTCAGTCAGAGGATATATCTCACTTCCCACCAAAGAATGCACAGCAGAATCAAGCCCTATAAATGCTTGGAGTGTGGGAAGAGCTTCCACCGTGGTGATAACTTTACTTTGCATCAAAGAACCCACACCGGGGAGAAGCCCTATGAATGCTTGGAGTGTGGGAAGAGCTTCAGCCAGAGGTCAAGTCTTACTTCTCATCAAAGAGTCCACACAGAAGAGAAACCCTTTCAGTGCTTGGAATGCGGAAAGAGTTTCAGCCAGAGGCGAAACCTTATTCGACATCAAAAGATCCACTCCGGAGAAAAAGCACATTCCTGCATGGAATGCGAAAAGAGCTTTTATGATAAGTGCAAGCTGAGAAGACACCAGAGAAGTCATGGAGAGGAAGGGAAAGCAATAATGACTTGGAGTGTTGAACTGGCTTCAGACGGTGTGCCAGTCCTGTGTCCTCTCCAAGAATTCAAACAGGAAGAGCTGTAGAACATTTCGGAGACTGAGTAACAGACTTCTGGCCCAGCCAGCCTTTATAAGCATTAGATAATCCCTTTGCAGATACATCTCTTCCTCAGGAAAACCTGCAGGTATGAAAAGAGCGTCTTTCAGTGTTAAGCAGATTCATGAGTCAGAAATGGACATTTAATGCAGTCCCTTCTTAAGGTGATGGTCCTCGGAGCCAGCCAGCCACATGCTTTGCAAACAGGACTATGGGGCCGATCTCTCGGTTTGGGGTGTGTAATCTTTGGTAACCTGTAATGTATGTTTCGTGCCTTCACTACATCCTGTCACCACTTGCTGATGATCAGCAGTTGGCCGTCTGGCGTAACCTTCCCTTTAGTTTCCTCGTGCCTTAATTCTCTGTTTTATTTTATTACCCTGTTCTATACACTTGCAGAAAATTTCTTCCGATTGGGGGACTGGGGTTCTTTTTGTACCCCCCCTTCCAAGCAATGTTGCAGTATTAAACACATTTCTCTAAGACTGGCATTGCCGGATTCTTGCAGTTGGTAATGTGGGAGGGAAATTGGAAGAATTTTTGATTCGCCTTAAGGGAGGCGAGCAGAGTTTTCGCTTTCCTCTGGTGTTGTTGGCTAAAGATGTGAAGTGAGAAGAGACTCGTGCCACGGTGAAGACAGCTTGAATCTCCCGTGCCCACACTGTGCCCCAGTCCAGAGATTTGCTCAGATTGGGTTTCCAGTCACTCTGAATTAGCTACACTTAATCGGAGTCCTTCCACAACCAGATAAAATCTTCACCCTGAATATTGGCCAGGCTGAGTATAGTTTCTAGAATGTAATTCTAGATTGTACTGTGATACCTCGGCTCATGAGCGCCTCAGTTCACAACCAAATAGGGCCGTGACCAGAAATTTCTGAAAAATTTCGCATCAGGTCATGAATTCTGCATCGGGTGACGATCGCGATCGTGCCCATCTCCCTGCACCCCAGCACACCCTGGATCAGGTCCGTCTCCCCCCGGTGCGCCTGCAATCGTGCCCGTCTCCCCCCGCCCAAGTGCACCCACGATCGCCCATCTATGGCCGCGATTGCAGTCCTGCTCTGGCAGGGACGATGGGTGCTATCACGGCCCTGCTGGGGGTGGGTAGATGGCTGAGATCACGGTTGCGCTCCTGCAGGAAAGACAGGCGTGATCTCAGCCATCTCCCCCCGGCCCCCAGCATGATCTCGGCCATCTCCCCACTCAGGGATGGGGGGAAATGGCTGCGATCACAGTCGCCACCCAATGCGGAGTTCGTGACCCGAGTGAAAATTTTTATGAAATGTGTGTTGGCGACCCGATTAGGTCGTGAACTGAGGCGTCTGTGAGCCGAGGCACCACTGCATATCCCATGCATCAGCACAGACCTCTCAGAACGGTTCAAGTCCCTCTGCCAGAAGTACTGAGACAACATGGAAACAGGCTGCTGGGTAAGCAATCGGGTTTGGCACAAACGGGGCAGGAAGGGCCGTGCATCCCCTCCTGCTCTGCAGGACAGGGAAGGGGCTTAATATACCATTGGGTACAGTAAGTCTCTTGGATGCTAAACCATAAAGACGCCCTTCGTAGCATCATGCCTTCCATCCCCTTTTGGGATAAATGGGCTGCTGGAGAACTCCAGAGAGGATCCTGGTTTCTGAAATCCATACATGCACAGAAAGGCACTCTTTATTTTATTTATGAATGAATGAATGAATCTTATTCTTAATAAACCTAACAAAAAAGAAATTAAAAACAACATCGATCAACAAAAACATCGGACCTGCTGGGTCTGCCCCCCACTTTTTTTCTTTTTATGTTAAACTATAAACATATTTAAATCTATGCATAGTCCCGTTTCTCTAGCCAATGATAAAAAGAATCCCAAGTTTGATAGAAGTCTGTATCTTCTTTCTCCTTCAAAGTCAGTCTGTCCATTTCTGCACAGTCCAAGATCTTTTTTAGAATCAGTTTGTCGGTAGGTGGCGCTTCACTTTTCCAATGTTGGGCAAATGCAATCCTCGCTGCCGTAGTTACATGTAGAGTCAAATTCATTGCTTGTTTTTTAAGATCATCAGGTATAATGCCTAATAAGAAAACTTCAGCCTTAAATGTTAGAGATTTTTATAACATCTCCTCAAGCCATTTGTGTATTTTAATCCAATACTTTTTTGCCTCATCACAGGTCCACCATTTTATTTATTTATTTGTTCATTCATTTGGGTAATTTTCACCCGGTCTGATATCTCAGGACAACTTACACTTCAAGTCCCATAAATACATAGGCACCCAAATAGTACAATATAAATGATCCACAAACTGGGCATAAAAGCAGACTTAAAATTAAACATTAAAAGTATGGAAGAATAAAAAGGTCTTGACCTGGTGCTGAGAAGTATATAATGTCAGCGCCAGGCGGACAACGCTGGGGAGCGCATTCAATGGCCAGGGCAGGGCTTCTGCTGCAGATCTTAGGGGCTGGAAGGGCATATAGGGAAAAAGGTGCTCCTTTAGGTATCCCGGTCCCAAGCTTTTTAGGGCTGTACAGGTTAATACCAGCACCTTAAATTGGGCCCGGGCTTCAATGGGAAGCCAGTGAAGCTGATGGAGGACTGGCGACATGAGAAGAGCGACTGGCCCCCAACAGCAATCCAGCAGCTCTATTTTGAAGCGATTGAAGTATCTGGACCGTCTTCAAGGGCAGCCCCATGTGTAGCCTCAGAAGAGAAGGGCAGGGCCTGACAATTTTTCCTCTACATGTTTTAGGGAATTAATGCTACAAAGTTCTGGTGAAAAATTTGTGGTGACCACAGATCACAGGACCATAAGGGTTGGAGGGGCTTCTCAGCCATCTCAGCCAACCCCTTGATCGATGCTGGAAATGCAGAGCTAGGAGAAGTAATATGAGGAGCCTCCAGAAAGAGTCTGCACTTTTAAAAACTATTTATTATGAAACAAAGGACATGACTTTTCCACATGGTCACCCTCCTTGGCGATGCATTTTTCCCAGCATCATGCCAACTTTTAACGCCAGCAGCAAAAAATATGTAAAATATATTTAGAAAATATAAAAGTGCGGAGACTTTTTGAAGGCCCCTCGTATGTTGGAGGCCTTGTAAGACAATTAAGGGCCGGTCTGGAGAGTCTTTATTATTATTATTATTAAATTTATGCCCTACCTGCTTTCTTTGGCAAGGAAGCCAAGGTGGCCTACAGAACCCACCTGCTCCATGTGGCTTCACAACAACCCTGTGAGGTAAGCTAGCCTGAGAGGCAGCGACTGGCCCAAAGTCATCCTGTGAGTTTCATGGCTGGAAGGGGGCTAGAACCCAGGTCTGCCGAGTCCCAGCCTGACACACTAACCACTATGTGGCACTGCTACAACATTATTGCCATTTGGATTCTGTCAGGCTTACATGACAATCTCACGGCCTTCAGCTTTCGAACCCCTTCCTTCCTGCTACCAAGCAGGATTTCTCTTGAAGTAGAAATGTTGCTCTCTGCAGTCCATGGCTGATGCATTTACTGTAAGCAATCAGATTACTTGAATGATTTTTTAAAAATATTTTTTTATTATTGTATTTTAAAACTATCCAGTTACTGACATTCTCTGGGCAATGCATTAAAAATGTAAAACACACGTTGGGACAAAAATAGCAGGCCAATCAATGAAGGATTCCCGTGGGATCGTCCGGAGGCCAAGGGGGGCTGAAGACAGGAAAGGGGCTTATTTTGACTGCTTTGATGGGACACGTAGTTCTAAGACAGCCGAGTGTGACTTCTGGCTGTCCAGTTGCTGCTGCACTACAACTGCCATCATCCCTGGCCATTGGCCACACTGGCTGTGGCAGGAGTTGGAGTCCAGCAGTAGAGAAGGGATGGGTGCTTCAGTGCTGCTCTAAACATGGGTGAGTCCGTCCATGCAAGGCCCGCAAAACATCATTCCCAAAGCTGGGATGCAATGGATGTATATGTGCTTTTGAAGGGGAGCAGAAGCACTGAGGACCAGAAACATGGAGCGAGTCAAAAGAGGCCTCCTGGGCCATCTAGTCTGACCCCTGGCTCCACTCACGACATGCCACCATGTGCATGTCCAGCCTCTCCTTGACCACCCCCACTGATGTGGCCACCTCCACCTCCCATGGAAGCCCATTCCAGGCTCTCGGGGCCCTCGCCATCAGGAAGGACTTCCTGGCATCCACTCTAAATCTTGGTTCCCTTGGTCCACTAATGTGGCTCTGAATGGTGAACTGTTCAGGAGAGAACAGAGGAGGCGCTTCATCACTTCTTCGTTCCCTTGGTTCCCTGCTCCGTTGGAACGCATCCTGAACTCCTCTGCAAGGGAAATAAGGGCACGACCCACCTCTGCATGGCACCCCCTCGAGTACCTGTATGTCACCAACAGGTCCCCTCGGAGTCTCCTCCTCTCCAGGCTGAAAAGACCCAGCTCCCTCAGTCTCTCCCCATATGGCATCCCCTGCAAACCGGCCACCAACCTTGTGGCCCTGTGCTGCACTGACTCCAGCCTGGCTGTATCCTTCCTGTCATGATGGGCCCAGAACTGAGCAAAATACTCCAGTTGTGGGCACACCAGAGTTGTAGAGAGTGGTAGTAATACTTCTCTCAATCTAGAAGCAACACATCCATCCATCTATCGATTTGTATCCTGCCTTTTTCCTACGAAGGGCCCAAGGCAGCTTACATCATTCTCCTCCTCCATCTTATCCCCACAACAACAACCCTGTGAGGTAGGTTGGGCTGAGAGTCTGTGACTGGCCGAAAGTCACCCAGTTGGCTCCATGGCCGAGCAGGGACCAGAACCCAGACCGTCTGAGTCCCAGTCCCACAGTCTTAACCACTACAACACTTCTGGCGATGCTGCCTACGCAGCTCCAGGAGCTGGTCCAGACCCCTTGCAAAGCCGTCCAAATGGTGGCAGAGGAGAGGGGAGGGCAGGACCCCTGACTTGGATGTTGTGGAGGACCTCCAGTGGAAACCAGGTGAGTCACAAGGGGTCTCCCGGGCCATCTAGTCTGACCCTGGCTCCAGCCGGCCCCACTCACGACATGCCTCCCATGTGCAAGTCCAGGCTATCCTTGAACACCCGCACCAATGGGGCCTCAACCACCTCCCGTGGGAGCCCATTCCAGACCCTTGGGGTCCTAACTGTCAGGAAGTCCTTCCTCACATTGAAATTGAACCTTGGTTCCCTGAGCTTTGCTCTGTTGGAGTGCATCCTGCCCTCCTCTGCAGGGGAGAACAGGTCTCTACCCACCTCTTTGTGGCACCCCCTCACATACCTATATGTCACTGACAGGTCCTATCTGAATCTCTTCCTCCCAAGGCTGAAAAGACCCAGTTCCCTCAGTCTCTCCTCATATGGCTGACCCTGCAAACTGGCCACCATCCTTGCGGCCCTTTGCTGCACTGATTCCAACCTTGCTATCTCCCTCTTGTAATGAGGGGCCCAGAACTGAACCCAATACTCCTGCTATGGACGCACCAGAGTCATATAGAGTGGCAGTAGTACCTCTCTCGATCTAGAAGTCACACTTCTGGCTATGCAACCAAGGCCGGCGTTTGCCCTCTTGGCGTTTGCCACATCTCACATCTCATGGTAGCCTGCAGTCGACCAGGACCCCAGTGCCAGGGCCGGGCAGGTTTCCCAGGGTGCTGGCCAGAGGACCCCTGGCTGGCTCCCCTCGTTTCCTCTGCCCCCTGCTCCATCCCAGACACCTGTGGGGGCAAGATGGAAGAGGAGACGTAGCAGCATGATGGCGCTTGCTGCCCAGCCGCATCTGGAGGCTGTAAGAGGTCGTCACAAAGGCCAGGGGGACCAGGCACAGGGGGCGATGGGGTCACCAGGCAGGCTGCCTCTCCATGGGACCGGGGGACACCAAGCGGGCTTTCCTGGGCCCCCGAAAGCCGGCACCTGGTGCTGCAGGGATGCTTCCGCACCAGGCTTGGGTGGAGCTCTCTTCTTGTGCACCAAGGGTCAAGCTGCAGAAATGACAGACCAGAGAAAATGACATCCAGGCACAAGGAGCCGCCATGACGGAGGCCTCAGAGCTGCCGAACTGGAGCCAAGCCCATGAAAAGAAAGCACGGTTCGTTGTCCGATTGTGGCGGCGGAGCTCTGTGCTTAACCAACCTGGGCTTGTAGTGTGTCTGGGTGCAGACAACACGTTTCGACCACAACCCCCCGTTCCGTGGCAACCCACACCCAACATTCCTGCATTGTCTGCACCCGGCCACTGCAGCCAACTAGCGGCCACAGACCTCTGCTTGCAGCCTTCTCCGAATCCATGCCAAGGGCTAACCCCCTGCGCCGCCGCCCGTGCACAGCCAAGAAAGGCCGCGGGTTCGAGGGGGGCAGTCTTGGGGGTCCGACTGGCTTCCAGCAAGGCTGCAATGCCCCAGGAAAGCCCCGCATTTCCAGCCATGGGAGATCAGAAGGCAAGCTGGAATCCCAGGAAGCGCCGTCCTGAGACATTTATATAATAGGAAGGCATATAAAAGCTTTTAAGAGATAAAGAAATAAAAACAAAAGGCCTGAGGTTTCGGCAAGGGGCGGCATAGAAATGTTATAATAATAATAATAATGCTATTGCCCAGGTCACTGGACTGCCCATGATCCTGATCCTAACCTAGTCTGCTATTGATTCATTGATCGATCGATCGATTTCTAAGCCATCAAGCAATTCAAATAGACTCTCCAGACGCCGTACAACAGCCGAATTACAACACAGCGATTAAAACCATCACTAAAATGTAAATAATGAATTATTACTAATAATATAGCCAGGGTCAGTTCAAATAACACATCCAGGTGAGACGACCACCAAATTTACTAAAATGAGAAAAATGCACAGCCTTTCCCGGGTGGGTTCTTGCTTCCCCCACAGCCCTAATCCTCCAATTGGCTCTGCCCTATTTTAAAGGCGGAGATGCCTGTATTGGGGGTGCTAAGGGGTGCCACCCCCAATGGCATCTCCGAAATTGAACGCAGGCCAAAAGAGGGCCAGCCCCTTGGTCCACGCTGATCTCCGTAGAGCTCCAAAGACGCTCTTTGTACCTTGGGACATTCTACCTGAAAAGTGGGGTGTGTGCTATGGGGTGTCTTTTTTTGCCCCCCCCCAAAACAAACCCCATTCCCCACTCACCTCACTCACCACTGCCAAGACTGTCTACCACTTCGTGAATTCCTGCAAAAGAGCAGAAAGCAGGGATCACCAGCTAGGCTGCGGAGTCAAATGTCCCCACCCGCTCTCTTTCCCCAGGCTCCCCAGTAAATCGCCCCCGTGATTCCCAGTCTGATCATCTCCTTGATCTGGGAGACATTTCAGGAGATGAAGTCAGTGCGGAAGCACAAGGAAAGGTGCACGTCCAGGGCTGGCTGAATCATGAAATAGTAGCATCTTCGGAGAAATCCCACTCTTCCAAGACTGGATTTTGGGTCGGTGGGCAGATGGGGGCTGCTCATTGATGTTTTTCGAGGAGCTGCACTGCTGCTTCACCTTAATGCTGATTGGAGACCCTTCTCCGTCATGTAGAGGTGACTGTCTGCCCATGTTCAGAGGCACTCTGTCCTTTCCATTTGGAATTTATTTTTTAAGCTACTTAGGCTCTGGATATTTTAAAAGCTTCTACAATTCAGAAGGGGGAGGCACTCTGTTCATTCTCAGAGGACATCTTGCCACACTGAAAAGCCCACACCCTGAGGGCCCAGAGTCCTGGAGAGCAACCTGGGCGAGGTCCTTCCAGAGAAGCACCCATCAGCAGGACCTTGGGTACCCTGCCCATCCAACTACCCAGCAAGACCGCCTTGTGCCGAAGGGACACTCCTGCAAAGGACTGACACGACTCACTTGTGGCCGCTCTGTGAGCTTCTCGCCGATGCTTCTCTGCAGAGACAGAATCGGAAAATCAGAGCTGAAAGTCCCTTCGTACATAACCAGTTCCCACCCTGCAAAACCAGCGCCCACTCTTGGGGCTCCCCAACAAAGTCCTCCTCCAGCCTCTTCCTAAGAACCCGGAAGAAAGTCCCACAGCTGACTGAGGCAGAGTTACCAGCAGTCAGGAAGTCCAGTTGCTTTCTGGTGCAGACCAGTTAACATAGAAACAGAGTGAGTCAGAAGGGTCCTCCCGGGCCATCTAGTCTGAACTCCGGCTCCAGCAGGCTCCGCTCACGACATGCCCACCATGTGCATGTCTAGCGTATCCTTGAACACCCTCACCGATGGGGCCTCAACCACCTCTCCTGGAAGCCCATTCCACATCCTCGGGGTCCTGACTGTCAGGAAGTGCTTCCTGGCATCTAAATGGAACCTGGGTTCCCTGAGCTTTTCTCCCTTGGAGGGTGCTTGCTGGGAATCAATTGAGACTTTTTTGGGGGGAGGTGGGCACAGAGAATTTTCATTTGATTACATAGAAACAGGGTGGGTCAGAAGGGGTTCCCCAGGCCAGTTAGTCTGACCCCCGGCTCCAGCTGGCTCCGCTCACGACATTCCTACCATGTGCATGTCCAGCTCCTTCAACACCCTCACCGATGGGGCCTCAACCACCTCCCAGGGAAACCCATTCCATGCCTGAGGGGTCCTAACTGTTAAGACCCAGTTTAAAATGCCAAGCCTAGACTTCCCCAACCTGTTTCCCCGGAGGTGCATTGGATTACAGCTCCCATAACCCCCAGCCAGCACAGCCAGAGAAACTGCTTGGGCTTATGGGAGTTGTTGTCCAGCACGACCCAAGGGGGCTGCATGGGAATGGGGGGCCAGCTCTGACAAGGCCCTGAGAGCCTCTGCTGCTCCAAAGGCAGCCCAGCACAGAGCTCATGTGTCTGGCTCTTCACCAGAAAAGGGAGACAGACGGCTGCTTGTGCGCAATGCCTGATTCCTCAGGGACCTGCCTGAACCTACAGGGCTTCCTGGGGGAATATTTCACCCATGTGGGGACCACCAAATGCATTTGCAGGTGACTTACTCTTGTACACAATTGCCCCGGCCGCAAGCAGAACCGTGGCGGAGACGACGACGGCCAGGAGGGCTCCCACCATGAGCCCCAAGCTGGACCCTGGATCAGGAGGGAGAGCAAGAGAGGACTTAGGTAGGAGGGCAAACTTCAAGCAGCAAGCAGAAGTCACCCATGGAAATGCCAGGAACTCCTCTCCATCCTCCCAGAGCACAGAACTTGGAAGAAGGGGCTCAAGTTGCAGGAAGCCGGGTTCCGGCTGGACATCAGGAAGAACATCCTGATGGTACAGCAATGGGTGCATGACCTGGGGAGGCGGAGGGCTCTCCTACACTGGGAGTCAGCTGGGCAGCCCTCCGAGAGGGACGGTTTAACATGGAGTCCTGCACTGCATGTGGGGTGGACCTGGTGGCCTCTGGCCCCTTCCAGCTCTCCTCTCCAGGGATTCCATGAAGACCCACTCCCTGCCTGTCCCAGACACTCGCTGTTTTCTCAAGGAAGGCTTTTCAGGTCGGGGATCTGGGGGCAAGAGTGGGGGAAATCGCAAACTGCCTCTCTTCCCCTCATTCCTACTCAGAAAACAAAATCAGTCTGTAAGCATCTTGGGAAAAAATGCTGTGGTTAATAGAAGCCAAGATGGATATATCACAGATACACCCTGTCAAACTGATTTAATCTCATTGGTTGACTGGGTAACCTCCCAAATGGACAGAGGGAACACTGTGGACATAATCTATAGTGGTACCTTGACTCACAAGCTTAATCCGTTGCAGGACTCTGGTCGTGACCCAAATTGGTTGTGAGCCGAGTTAAATTTCCCTTAAGGTTCAATGTAAATATGGTTAATCCGTTCAGTAACCACTTTTTGAATCAGAAAAATGTGAAGCAAAGTGACAAAGAGCAACAAAAATTGTGGCCATCTCCCCCCGCCCAACACGCTGAGCACAAGTGCAGCCATCTCCCCTCTCCCCAGCACAACCGCAATAACACCCATCCTCCCTGCACGCACCCATCCTCCCACTGCAGGGGGGGGGGGGCAGGGAGAGACGGACATGATCGTGGGAGCACTGGAGGAGGAAAAGATGGTGCGATCTTGGCTATTCCCCTCCGTCCCGCCCCGCAGCATGATCATGGGCAGCTCCCCACTCAGGGGGGTGGGGAGATGGCCACAATCATGCTGGTTGGGTTGGGGGAGATGGCTGAGATTATGCACGTCCGCCCTGCAGGAACGCAGCTGCGATCGTGGCCATCTCCCCACTTAGAGGGGTGGGGAGATGGCTGCGATCTTGGTTGCCACCCAATGCAAAGTTCGCGACCCACATCAAAATTTTCACAAAATTTTTGTTCACGACCCGATTTGGTCATGAACCAAGGCGTTCGTGAGCCGAGGTACCACTGTACCTTGACTTTCAACATCATGTCCCATGACATCTTCATAAACAAATTAGCAAAACCTGGACCGGATGGAAAACTATGAGGTGGATCCAAAATTGGCTGCTAAATCAGACACAAAGAGTGCTCATCAACGGCACCTTAACAAACTGGAGGAAGGTAACTAGTGGGGTGCCGCAGGGCTCCTTCCTGGGCCCAGTGCTCCTCAGCATCTTTATTAAGGATTTAGATGAGGAAGTCCGATACAAAGCAGGGTGGAATAGTGAACACCCTAGAAGAAAAACGATCCCGGGCAGCACCCTTCCACTGCCCCCTCCCACTGCCTGCCCCGCATCCCAAATCGATGAAGCCCAGTGAGTGATGCTCTAGAACTGCTGTTTCCCCCCCAAAAAAGTTACCCGTCCCAATCCCTCCTTCTTCCACCCTGAGGTCTCTCACCAGGTTCCTCCCAGGCCAAATTCAGGGGCTCCGGCAGGCCAGCATGTGCTACACGGCACTGGTAGCGCCCCCTGTCCTTGGGATCAATTCGGATGCTCAGCCAGGTGTGGTAGGTCCCATCTGCATTGGGGGTGATGCTCCCATGGAGTTGGTCCTGCTGCCAGACCTCCCTGTCCCTTCTCCAGGTGGCATTGATCTCCTTGGGGTAGAAGCCGTAGGCACGGCAGACAAGGGTTTCTAGGCCGTCGTAGTCTTCCTTGCGCGACACCTTCACCACTGGTGGCTCTGTAGAAATTACAACATCTTTTAAGTCAGCATCTTTCCAGTGGCCGCTGTGGTGAACAACACATGTTGGCCTGGTTTGCACATAACATTAAGCCATGGTTTGCATTCAAACTCATCCCTGCAACCAAATCAGGATGTGGTAAGCCGCCATCGGAAGTCACGGTTTGTTGCTGGATGATGAAGGCTGGCTTGTTGTGATGTCTGAACCCGGAAACGTGGCTTGTTCTGCTTCTGTGTCCTGATACAGTGAAAGTAGTCTGAAAACGACTCTTTTCTGAGGGCCGGCCAAATAGACAAGAGAGAAGCAAACCAAGAAAGAGGATAAGAATCCCTGATTTGCATTTTCATCAGGAAGATAATGCATGGCTAAAGCAACAAAATTCAGACAACGTGAACCATGGCTTAAGTGTGCACACACCAAAGCTGGGACCAAAGGTGAAGGGAGACCATCTTACTGCAGCTTAAAGCTCTTACTGCTGATGACTGGGTCCAAGCAACATCCAACTCACAATCAAGGGTTGTGTGTGGCTTGTTGAGTTGTTGTAGAGGCATGGTTATTGTGTTGTGTGGACCCAGCTGAAATAGCAAACCATGGTGACCAACCCACAGTTCACAAGCAAATATTGAACCATGGGTCTCCTCCAGTACCACAATCTAAAGGTCTCAGTTGTTCCTTCTCGTCAGGTGGCCTGAGCTTCATCTTCCATATCTGACCTTCTACAGAGCAGTCAGGGTTGATCTCCTCCAGGACTGACCGCTTTGATCGCCTTGCGGTCCAAGGGACTCGCAGGATCTCCTCCAGCACCACAATTCAAAGGCCTCAATCCTTCGGCGCTCAGCCTTCCTTATGGTCCAGCTTTCACAACCATACATTGCAGCTGGGTTTACCCAAGTCCATAATCCATGTTTGAACTAACAAGCATTGACTATGGGTTAACCTGTTGTCTGAACCCAGACAATAAATAAGCCATGAGAAGGTGTTCTGACCTTTAGAATGAATTAAGGGGAAAATGCACAAATGCTGGAAAACAGCTGGATGATTGGTGGTTCGGGGAACTCCAGAGGGTGGGCTGCCCCTTCAAAGAAGCCTGCCTAAGGACCCCTCCTCCCTCCCTCCCCACCATCACCTCTCCTCAGCAGCGATGGCTTCCCATACTCGGCGAACTTCTGCAGCAACTCAACGCACTCCTCTTCCAGAAAGTGATTCCGGCTCTGGGCAATGAGGGGCTCTGCCTCCCAGCTCCTCTTGGTCACCTGGGCCCTGGCATCTGCTGCCGTCCAGGTGAGTGTCTCCTGGTCCAGGCTGATGAAGTCCTGGCCATTGTAGGCATACTGGTAGTGGCCCCTTTTGTGCCCGTCCCTGCTCAGCTCACAACCGATCATGCGCTGCCAGGTGTAGAATCCTGAAGGGAAGGCGGGAAAAGGGCTGAAGGCAGAACCAGGCAGGTGCCACATAGAAGGAAAAAACTCTGGAAACCTTCTGACGTAGGTGTGGACTCAAGGCTCCCTTCCCATCGTGCTGGCTGTTAGCCTGCCTGGAGCGGACGGGGCCTGGCTTGGTCCCCCCTACTCTGGGTCAGCCAGTCTGGCCGAGCACGAGGGGCTTGAGGTGAACCTGCCTCTGCGGGTGCCCCAGGTGAGAGAAGCTGATCTCGCAGTGGCAATAGTGCCCCAGGTGAGCCAGCAGTCAGGGTCTGTCTGAGCCCTTCAAAATGCTGGTTTTGGCCTTTAATGGTGTCAGCAGTTCAGGACCACGTGACTCGCAGGGCCACGTACATCAGAAACAGCAGAAACATAGAAACAGAGCGAGTCAGAAGGGGCCTCCCAGGCCATCTAGTCTGACCCCCGGCTCCAGCCAGCTCCACTCACGACATGCCCACCATGTGCATGTCCAGCCTGTCTTTGAACACCCTCACCGATGGGGCCTCAACGACCTCTCGTGGAAGCCCATTCCACACCCTCGGGGTCCTAACGGTCAGGAAGTGCTTCCTGGCATCCAAATTGAATCTTGCTACCCTGAGCTTTGACCCGTTGGAGGCACCCTGCCCTCCTCTGCAGGGGAGAACAGGTCTCTACCCACCTCCGTGTGACTCCCCCTCACATACCTGTATGTCGCCAACAGATCCCGTCTGAGTCTCCTCTTCTCCAGGCTGAAAAGGCCCAGTTTCCTCAGTCTCGCCTCAGGGCCTTTTCTGCAGTAGGCCCCAACCCAAATGGTTGCCACGGGGCTCCATCAGGCCCCATCACTGCAGGCTTTAAGAAGCTCCTGGGGACCTAATTCTGCAACCTGGCATTCCCCAGAATAGGTTCTACCAAGATAGCCGGCCAGGCTCTGCAGAAGCACCTCCAGCAAGGGAGTATCGCCCGGAGGTGAGGCTGGACCATTCCCACTGATTGGGGGCCGCTCCCAGTGACTAGTGAGAAACTGCTCCCTGCCATGTCCATTTGGGGGCTCTTGTCTTGCCTGGGATGCATGTCTCCTGCAGGACGTGCCTTTGCCAGGGCCGTGAGTCCCCTTCCCCTTCGCATCTCCAGGCTGGACTTATCCGGCCCTTCCCACTGCTGGCCCAGGCCATCCAGGGTGCCCCATGGAGCCAGAACTCCCTAGCAAGGACCCCACGCAGGCTCCCTGGGGAGGCACGTGCATGCTTGTTCTCTCCAGCTCCTGCTGGGGGGTGGGGGTAATCCATGCATCCACGCCCCTCCGCTCTCACCTCTGCTCAGGTTGTGGTACTCCTGCACCATGGCCAGGTCGCCCTTCAGCCTCCGCTCCGTGTTGCTCACCCGCCGGCTGCTCCACTCCCAGAAGTGGGGGTCATCCTTCTCCACCTCCCGGGCCCAGGGGGCCTGCGGCAGCACAGCCCGTGTGCTGGCATCGAAGCGGGCAAAGAGCTGGTCACCCACGTAGCCCATCGCGAGGTACTGGGGCAGCTCCCAGCCGGGATCATAGAACAAGGCGTAGCAGATGCGCAGAGAGTGCCAGGAGGTGGCTGGAAGGGCAGGGCGGGAGTGCTGAGGGCCACGCAGAGGAGGGAGCACCCCCTGCCCAGCCAGAGGTCCCTGCTGCTCCCCACTTGGGTAGACTGGGGGTCCACATGGCCCCACAGGAGGAAGAACTCGATCTGATACTGCCCAAGGGGCAGCCCTGAATGCCCATGGGGTGCCCAGGCCTGCCCCCAGAGCAAGCCCTCCAGAAGGAGACCCATGGATGTTCGCCTCCTCCACGGATCACTCCCATCCCCCGTAAAGACATCCAAATAGGAGCCTGCACCTCAATTTTGGGGGAGCGCATTGCTTAGTTGAATGCGTGAGGAAGGCCTTCCTTTTCTGCACTTCCCACTACTGTGTCTCTGGGGGGCACTGTGCAAACATCCCAGGCACACAATGCTAGAACTGCACCTAAAGCCCTAAACAGCGTAGGACCAGGATCCCTGAAGGAACGTCTCCTTCCTTATACGCCCTCACGTCCCTTAAGATCTATGGGAGAAGCCCTGCTCCGGGAACCCTCTCTAAGAGGGGTAAAAAGGACATCAACCCAGAGCAGGGTCTTCTCTGCAGTGGTGCCCACATTCTGGAATAAATCCCCAGAGAGGTATACCTGGTGCCACATTTATACTCTTTTCAGCACCCAGCCAATAAAATACTGTTTATTTAAACAGTATTTTAACCCTGAACAACTTTTAAACTTCAGTCGCTCTGTTTGTTTTGTGATGTACTGTCTTTTCCCGTTTCTATAGATTTATTAGACATTGTTGTTGCTTTCATTGTTCTTTTAAAGATTGTAAGCCGTCCTGAGATGCTTGTATCATAGAGCGCCATACAAAAGCATTTAATAAGTAAATAATAAATAAATCAAGGGCGCCCAGCCCGAGCCACCTACATCCTGGGCGGATGGCGGCTCTCCCTCGCAGATGTGGCCGGCCCTGCTATGGGGCAAGTCCGTGGTCCTGCGGGCTGTGCGAGGATGGCCCAAAACAGCACCGGAGACTGCGCGCAGGCGCATAAAGAGGCTGTCTGGACCCCCGACCCCCCGGCTCAAGCATCTCCCCCAGCCCAGCTTTACGGCTGCTACCTGCCCGCCCCCCCCCCCCGCAAATGCGGATCTCCGGGCCGAGCTCACCGGTGCGTCCCGTGCGCAAGGAGAAGAGAAGCGCCGCGGCGTGCCAGATGGAGAGGCTCCTCGGGGGCAGCCCCATGGTGGGGGGGCGCGAGGTCCAGCGCCTCTCCAAGGGGCAGGACGGACCCGGAAGTGGAGCCAGCAAGCAGTTGGGGTGGGGGCGGGCGAGAGGCGGGCCGGGGCGCCGTCGACCAATGGGAAAACCCAGCGCGTCCGGCGGGGCAGCAACGCTGGCAAGAGAAAGCGGGGCTTGAAACTCAACATTAACGAAACGAAGATCGTGGCATCCGGTCCTGTCACTTCCTGGCAAATACATGGGGAAGAAATGGAGGCGGTGACAGATTTATTTTCCTGGGCTCCAAGATCACTGCAGCCAAGAAATTAAAGGACGCTTGCTCCTGGGGAGGAAAGCTATGGCAAATCTAGACAGCATACTAAAAAGCAGAGACATCACCCTGCCGACAAAAGTGCTGCGAGAGAAGGAAAATTACTGTTACGAAGCAGGAAGGTGATATCTGAAGCAAGGACAAACTACTCCAGATCAGAACAAGGAACTATATAAAGGAAAGAGCTGGGGTAAGAGCTGGGACCCTTAAAGGCCAAAGGCCAGAGTACAGAACTGTGTAAAGACTATAAATAGGAAATAGAAAAAAATAGGCAGGTTTAAATTGGTTACTGATGTAAACAAATAAAGGTGGGCTAATAGTATATGGTGTGGCTGACTTTGAACACAAGAGGAGTGGGGTTGAGGGCATTGGTTAAACCGTTACTCCTGCAGAAACATAGAAACAGAGTGAGTTAGAAGACGTCTCCTGGGCCATCTAGTCTGACCCCCAGCCCCAGCCAGAAGATAGTAGGTAATTGATTGTCTTTTACAGCTGGCCATTCTGTGCAAGGGCGAGGGAGATCATTAGCTTGGAAGAAGGTTTGTTCTTCCCATTTCATCCTCTCAGGAGTTTTAGGAGATAAGTGGTCACCAGGCAAGACTGATGTAAAGTTAAGACGACCTAGTGAACTTATAGTGAGTAGTGCGAACGCTTAATAGGTTTATGAATAATAGCTGACACACTCGCATAGGTAATGGGCTTATTAGCATGAACATGGGATGCATGAGCGGGAGGGGGAACATACCAAGGAGTAGCAAGATAAAGGCGGAGGGAGCAGATTGTGAGCTCTTAGTAACCCAGCCAGTGGGGGGAAAGAGGCAGGGTCTGTGCATCAGGGAAAGGGAATAAAAGGCAGTATCTTTTGTCAAAGCAGCGCGCTACCTGTGAGGGGGGTGCCCACTCTCGCAAGAACGTATTAAACTAGTACTGCTTGCTACTTTGCCTCCCGTGTCATCACTACTTGGAACTTCATTTTGTTCCTAATAGTGTGTGTAGTCAAGGCTACGATTTTCCCAGTTGCAATGTATGGATGTGAAAGTTGGACCATAGGGAAGGCTGAGCACCAAAGGATTGAGGCCTTTGAATTGTGGTGCTGGGGGAGACTCCTGTGAGTCCCTTGGACTGCAAGGCGATCAAACCGCTCATTCCTAGAGGAGATCAACCCTGACTGCTCTTTAGAAGGCCAGATCTTGAAGATGAAACGCAAATACTTTGTCCACCTAATGAGAAGGTAAGACTCCCTGGAGAAGAGCGTAATGCTGAGAACAGTAGCTGGCAAAAGAAGAAGGGGATGGCAGAGGGTGAGGTGGCAGGATGGCGTCACTGAAGCAGTCGGCTTGAGCTTGAGTGGACTCCAGGGGATGGTGGAGGACAGGAATGCCTGGAGGAGTGTTGTCCATGGGGTTGCAATGGGTCGGATTTGACTTTGTGACTAACAACAGCAATTCGAGAGGAATTGTCTCGGGCTGGTGGCCGGGGTGGGAGAGGGGGTAGCAAAAGGCCAGGCTTGTCCCCCTCGGCATTCTTCCTGCACTTTCCCTGAGCAAGCACTTGGAAGACCAGGTTGCAGTTTCGTTTTGAAAAGGGATACAAACCCACTGACCTCCATACACACACACAAATGCTCTCTCATTTTCCTCCTCAAGCAGTAGTTTTGGCTCTGGTTACGGGCCTTTCCTGCTTGCCCCCTCCCAATTTTGTGAAGAAAAGGAGACGGAGAGCTGAGGATGGCCGCAGGGAGGGAAGCCGCCTGGCTCACAATGCCCTTCAGCCATGGCTTTGGTCCCATCATCCTGCAACAAACCTGGCACTCAGAGACATGGCACTGCTGTGCCCAGCACAGGGGCAGTTAAGCGGGGGGTGGAGAGGTTGAGTGGGGGGGGAGCAAATCCACCCAGCTATCTAAAAAATGCATTTGTTCATTATACAGCAATCATCTCGTGTTTCAGTTTCTCTAAGATGTCACCATTTCTCATTTTATGATTTCTTGTTTTATAGCCTGGTATCTCACTTTACACAGCTCTGCCCTGCAACAACTTTTCCATAGATGTTTTCGGTTTGTTCTAGAACATCGTCTGCTTGCAGTCTGATTTTATATATATACCTTCTCTCAATTCCATACATCTCATCTAATCGAGCTGATGTTGCCAATGATTCTGTGCATGTAGCAAGCAATGCAGCTGATAATGGGCTGTACCATGTCTTGTGCCATGTTTTCAAGTTAAAAATTGGAATTTTGTCATTTAACAGTGATTTTGGCTCTTGGCTTTGCATAAATAGTTCTTATGAATGTCAAATAATGGCCACCACATTAGAATTTTTTAGAAGTCTGAAACAAACACTCCTGTTCAAGCCCATCACCAGCTTCCCTAAATTGAAAGGGCAACAGGTGGTGTTTCCTTTCTGTTCCTTCTAGAGAAGTTCCATCTTTTGAGGGTTCTGCTTGGACCTGCTCATTTTCCACTTCATTTAGGAGTAAAACTGCTTCTGTTTTGTCCCTGTGGTATTCCATTTCCCTTGAAACCTAACTTAATTTCGAGGGAATATGCCATCTGTAACCAGCTATTTCCATTTAATCAACTATTTAATCCACCATCAACCATTTAATCAATTATCTATTTCCTTTAATCAACTTATCAGTAGTAACTTTAATCTTTTTCCCTTTTTCGGATGTAAAGTCAGCAAGAAGAAAAGAAAATTCCCAGCAAGTTTTAGATTGGGATTTTTCAATCTAAAGATGTAGCAAGTAAAATACTAGTGTTATCTCAGTATTAATTCTTCAGCATCAGATTATCACAAATCTGGAAAATGCATTGGAAACAGTCACTAGATTACAATCCTTAAATGGACTGATAAATGACAGTTACCCAGGTACATTTAACCCAATCCTGAAACTCCTGAAAGAACTGGGAATACCCATGCTAATTTATGGTACAAAGATAGGGGTGTTTGCTGATCTTAAGAAAATTCAAAAAGTCCAAAGTTGCTTCTTGCACCTGATTTTGGGGATTTCTAAATATGCCCAACCATGTTAGAGTCCCACCAGGGGACTCATGGCCCTGGGAAAAGCATGTCCTGCAGGAGACGCGCATTCCAGGTAGGACAAGAGTCCCCAGCTGGACGTGGCAGGGAGCAGGTTCTCGCTAGCCATTGGGAGCTGTCCCCGATCAGTAGGAGCTGTCCGGCCTCACCTCTGGGCAGTTCTCCCTTGCTGGAGGTGCTTCTGCAGAGACTGGCTGGCATTCTTGGTAGAATCTATTCTGGGGAATGCCAGGTTGCCGAATTAGGTCCCCAGGAGCTTCTTAAAGCCTGCAGCAATGGGGCCTGATGGAGCTCCATGGCAACCATTTGGGGTGGGGCCTACTGCAGAAAAGTCCCTGAGGTGAGACTCAGGGAACTGGGTCTCTTCAGCCTGGAGAAGAGGAGACTCAGAGGGAATCTATTGGTGACATACAGGTACGTGAGGGGATGTCACATGGAGATGGGTAGAGACCTGTTCTACCCTGCAAAGGAGGGCAGGACGTGTTTCAACAGAGCAAAGCTCAGGGAAACAAGGTTCCATTTAGATACCAGCAAGCACTTCCTGACGGTTAGGACCCTGAGGGTATGGAATGGGCTTCCACGGGAGGTGGTTGAGGACCCGTTGTTGAGGCTGTTCAAGGATACGCTAGACATGCACATGGTGGGCATATTGTGAGTGGAGCAGGCTGGAGCTGGGGGTCAGACTAGATGGCCCCGGGGGGGTCCCTTCTGACTCGCTCTGTTTCTATGCTTCTATGTGTGGGACCTGATTCCTGGCAAGCACTCTCCAAGGGAGCAAAGCTCACGAAACCAAGGATCCATTTAGATACCAGGAAGGACTTCCTGACGGTTAAGACCCTGAGGGCATGGGATGGGCTTCCCCGGGAGATGGTTGAGGCCCCACCGTTTAGGGTGTTTAAGGACAGCTGGACATGCACATGGCAGGCATGTTGTGAGCGGAGCCAGCTGGAGCTGGGGGTCAGACTAGATGGTCCAGGAGGCCCCTTCTGACTCTCTCTGTTTCTCTGTTTCTATGTTTAATTTCAGCTGAATTTGGTTTTGAAAAAAATTCAGGATTGATGTGGTTAAGGATGGTGAAATAAGACACCTTACAGAGGAAAGATGACCTGAAACCTGCTCTGGGGAACAGAGACTCTCTTTGCACTTAAAGTTTTGCTTGCAAAAGCAATTAGAACATCTCCCAAATTTCAGATGTTCTGGTCAGGTACTAAATCCAAGGTGAAAATCTTACAGCCACATCTTTGAACAAAGACTGTTTGATAATGGAACACAAATTTATATAACTGCTCCTGCATCATCAAAAGACATCAAATTGATTAGATAGCAGAAGGCAGCATCAATGCAAGAAATATTTTTCCATTCCTCTGCAAATGAAATATTGGAAAGGCCTCCAAGAAATGCTGAAATCTCAGAGCCTCCAGGCTTCTCTTTAACCCTTCTAATTCTAATATTGGAACACCAATGTTTATCATCTAGTTCTTCCAAACGTCTTTCTAAGTCCATCATTCCTAATTTGCTTCCCCAGACTGCACTTCCAAATAAATTTCAGAAAAGATTAGAACAAAACCTCTTTTCATTCTCCTCAATATACTTCTTAGGTGCATCTGCTTTTCTCAATTTATCATTTAAACCTTTCTGCTTAACCTCTATTTTTTAAATCTTTCCTCAGGGTTCAGAGGTTTTCCTAAATAGCTT